TATGTATGTATGTATGTATGTATGTATGTATGTATGTATGTATGTATGTATGTATGTATGTATGTATGTATGTATGTATGTATGTATGTATGTATGTGTACATATATATATATACATATATACGTATATATATATATCCAAATCTCACCTTTTGAATTTGGAATAACTGTCCTTCTAGCTCTGGCAAACATGAATCAAGCTTCCGCGCAGGATCTCAAGGCTTTGATTTTTGTGGATACGTTGCTTGCACCATGGCCTGCACCCTTAAGTGTATGTACTGTAAATATGTGGTACTCGGTACACGTGACATATGTGATATATGCGATACAAGTATATAATGTGACATGTGATGTACAAGTTCAGAGCCGGTAGAGTGGTTAAATAGACATGAGACATGTATATTTATGTGTATATGAAACGCAGATAACGTATATACACATATGATGTATCGTACACACATAATAAAACATATACCGTATGAAACATTGAGTCCTCTAGGTTGGGGAGCCATTCAATGCAATCCGATGCCCTGCCCAGCAATCACACCACGCCTTCTCCTCAAAGTCGAAGTTGCGCAGCAACGCGACCTGAGGTGACAGCAATGGCGCCATGGAAATTCCTCTGATTCACCTCCTGACAGGAGCCTGAGACAGGCTTCGTACAGGCTTCGTTCAAGCTTCATGTAGGCTGCTAGGCTTCGTTCTTTTGAATTTGCAAAACGGCTTGCAGACTCTTGACTATAAGATCTGTACTAGATCTGTAAGAGCCAGGCACAAGGCAGCTTCTGGTTGCCAGAACCTGCAAAGCCCACATCAAGCCATAGTTCTAAATGTCCGTATATTGTTCTCAGCGGCATTGGGAATAGCCCACGATGCTTGGTGATTTGCTGGCACGCAGGTCGAAGAGGAGAGGCATGCGATACATTGATGCGCGACAATCTTCATGGCCAATGTGATCCAAAGATGTCCAATGTGTATCACTTCTGCGGTTCTGGACGCCTGTTGGACTCAAATCTTGAAGTTTCCCTTGCCTAGGCCTTGTAGGAGAGCAGTGGGTGTGCTCTCCACAATACCAACTGCCACTTCGCCTGAAGAAGTGAGAAAATGAACACACCTAGCACCCAAGAAACCATACTAAGAACCTATTTGAGTCCCAAGTCAGACTTCAGTGACTTAAGTCTACATCGCACACTTTCAGCCGTTTCAGCCTCCAGCTCCTTTGGGGTTCAAGGCAAAGGACACATCCTGCCCGATACGAAAGACTGGACCGAACCGGCATAAACAATGATCAAAGCATATTAAAGCAATGATAACCACACCGGCTGCGTTGTACATCACAAGCCAAGAGTAGAAGTTGTGCAAGGCTTGGCAATGATATTGTCCCAAAATGCTGCTTGTTTTCTTATCTTTCATCGGTGTTCATCGTTGTTTATAACCTTTAAATATTGAGCTGAACTCAACAAACTCTCAGGCCTCTAGGACTTCATCAAGCATGCTGCTTTCCAAAATACCGTCCAGCAACCTGAAGCAGCAAAGAAGCAGTCAGTGCTACTTTCACCTGTGATTGTGCTTTGCAGATACGATCGACAGACCACTCGCAGTTACAGTACCTGCAACTGCAATATTCTACGAAGTTGCAATTTCAAAAAGTAAGCAAATACTGCCAGTTACTGCCACAATCTCTTTGCTTCAGAGGACAGCATTGATATCCTAGAGTCGCAGAGGACCATGTCATCATCCATGATAGTAGGCACCTTGTGATTCTGCCCATGGAATCCCACACACGTGAACTATCATGAACTGATAGGCGGACCCTACGACTGCCACAGGCTTCTTCGACGCCCAAGACAAAATGCCATCTGCTGATGCGCCAAGGCCTTGGGAAGTGGAAGAATGCAGGGGCAAAGCGAAACGAAGTTAAGTGAGTCACCAAGGCATTCGTGTGACCGTATGGGTGTTTCATGCCCGTCAAATTCCTGGTCGGTAAATGAGTGTTCCTACATTTTGCGCAGGTACAAGATGGAGTGTTTCCCAGGTTTGACAGAGTTGACATGTAAGAAATGCCTGCGGTTTTTTTCTTCGCCAAGATGTCATCATTTCTATGTACAGCGGCCACGGCCACGGCCAGGATCAGCCATCAAGGCTCAAGGAGGCAGCCAATCCGAGAGCGGCCAAGGGCCGCCCCACGGCACGGAGGTGCACCAGTAGACGGCTCTCCAATTCATCCTCCACCACAGAAATATGGAGTGCAACATAGTAACTTATAGTAACATAGTATAACAGCATAACTATGTATATACTATGTATGTATATACTATGTATGTCTATACTATGTATCACTGTATGTATATACAGTATATACCTGGGTGTTAGTATATATATATAATTACTATGTGGTCTATGTGTAACTCTCTCAAAAGGAAAAGCTGAGATCTCTGAACCCAAGCAAACGTAAGAATACTATGGCAAAAATGCTGAGCGCACCTATTTCGAGGTTTGAAGACATAGACATACTGAAATTATCCAAAACCCCTGCATGTCTGCAGCGCGTTGTCCACATTGCCCTGCCTCCTTAGCTGCTTCCACAATGAGCGCATAAAATGGAACGCCATCCCCGGTGGGGGTGAACTTCCATCCAAGGTGACGGCCCTCGCAACGCTTGCAGAGGAGGATGGACCATGCAAACCCTGGGAACCACGAATCCAAAGCGTCTTTGGATGGTACCTCCAGCAGCTCCAAGTCAGTCTGGTCCACCTGAGCAACGATCAGCAAATCTGTGCACAAAGGTGTAGAAAGGTATGGAAAGCTACGTGTGGACGATTCCCGGAAATCGAACAAAGCTACAGTGCACGCTCTTGAGCACCACTTGAAAACCTCAAAGTTTGGTACAATGATCCTACAATGAGAATGGATGGGAAGAGTTTATTTTGGTGGGGTGATCAAGCCGGAGCTGGTCCAGTTTGGTGACCCTCTGCCTGCCGCAGCAGAAGGAGCTTGAAAGGGAGCTGCAACTCGGACAGTCGTGCAGGCTGTTTGAAGTTGTACAGGCTCACTTTCAAACCGTGCACTTCATGTTCTTCCATGCCTGACAAGCAAGATGCTAGGCACAGGGAAAAAGGATTTCTTTCAGTCATTCTCCTATTCTCCGGAAAGAAAATGGAAAGTAATCGATTCAGCATCACCACATAATCTTGAGCAACTGCAACAAAATGGTGCTTAAGCAAAGATCAGTATTCCAAGAAAGGAATCTGGTTGCACTGGTAGGAGTGGCAAGTTCGCCTGGCTCAAATCCAAACGCTGCGCAGGGCACTCGCAATCACCTGCAGATTCAGCGCTACATGATGCCGCTGGCGCATGAGGATTGCCAGTGGCTGCAATATTTGACACCCGGCCCCAAGCAGGCACACAACACACCAGGAGGAGTATCTGGTGCATGGCGCAGGCTTGGTCGAAGGAACAGGACTTGAGCAGTTGGGCTGCGATGAACTTTGACACATCGCGTTGCCAGAGGTCACTGCAGTCTACTCTGTACATCTCTGTACATCTCTGTACTCTGTACACAAACTCGCTGCATAACTCCATGCTTAGCACCATGCATAACCATAAGTATCATAACTATCATAACTAATGCATAACCATGCATATAGTTATCCATAACTCATCCATGCTTAACACAACAAGCGGCTGACACAATGCCGTCGCAGTTCGCTGGGTTCCAAGGCGCTCCACCAGCTGCTCCGTGAGCTTGCCCTGTACGTCCAAAAAGATCCAGGAGGCGGACCAGGAATCACAGCTGCGACATGATCTGAGTGAATAGTGTCATTACATGAATACAATTCAAGTAAACACTTGTGTATGTATATTCATAATATATATATAATTACATCATCATGTATTTATATATATATACACAGTATATATATAATATATTATACACAGTATATATACACCGTATATGACGGTTTGCCAAAATATATTTTCCTGGTTTGGTTGATAAATCGTAATTCGTTGCGTGCCGCTTCTTATTTGGTCTTTAAAACCATGACTTACCTAAACATCCTAAATAGTCTGAAACCCCGCATTTTATCTTTCATGTTTGAAGCTGTAGCTAAAACCTGCAGTAAATGCTAACGCACGTCTATATGAAGTGGGTGCCGCTGCTAGTTCTTAGTGGGTGCCGCTGCTAGTTATTATATGATTATTAGTGGTGGAACTGGAATATCTGCAGGGCTTGTCGTTGCCTTTGCTGTCACTGTTGATTTTGTCAAACAGACATTAAGAAATTCACTAAGACATCCTTATGTTTAAGGAGCTAAGTGTTACATATTGACTTTTCTTCATGTTGAAATAACAAGCAGACAGGACACACAAAAAATATCCTTGAACGGGTGTGAGAAAAAAAACTAGCGCAAACCTAGCGGGTTTGCTAGCGCTGCCTTGCAGAATTGGTGAATTTAGTTGCGTGCCGCCTCATAACGAAGAGGAAAAAACGCTAGGTCCACACTAATTATCAACAACATTCAACAACTAGTACAAACTTCTGTCAACTATTTTTGGCAAATTGTCATATTCTTACAAACTGACGTTACCCGTCAATCAGAGCATCTGCCAGAAACGAACTGATGAAAGACATCGATGACATCCGAACCTTTGCCCACTCTGCCATCTTGTCGCCAGTACGAGGGCCTTCATACTTCACCGACACCTCCAGGTGAGCTGTCTCTAGAACCCTCAGAAACACCTGCTTCTCAAAGATCTCATAGCGGTGCAACTGAGTTCTTGGGAGCAACGAACTACTTGGGATTCCTTGTTGACACCATCTGAGATCATCTCCAGCATGCTCAAGTCATGCCTTCGGGCCACCTTTGTAAAGTCTCAAAGTTGGAAAGGACCTAGAGCTGCCAGGGCAGTAGAAACATGTAGAAACCACTGAAGCTGCTGAAATCTGCTGAATCTAAATCTGAGCGTTTGGCTGCACCTCATGCTCTTGGGCAAGAGACTTGTGGGCGATAGCATCTACCTGACTAGTTCCTACACATGCAGGAGCCAGTACATCTCAGCTCAAGCTGCCATAGATACGAGTAACTTGGATGAGATGAATGGAAATCAACCACTATCTATTAGATTGATATGTAGTCGAATTCTTAGTCTGGGTAGATCGGAGTTGAAGCATAGACCTTAACAGAGTTTGCTGCCCACCTTGGCGACTAGGATGTCAGCTTCTTGGCAAAGCTCTGCTGTCCTTCACATCTTGAGAATGTTCCAAAAGCAAAATGCTATGATTTATGATGTAATGATATCATATGAATTCAAATGATATCATATCATATCGTACTTGCACGTCGAAAGTTGCAAAGATATCTTTCGTGTGATGAGTGATCCGTCCTTTCCCATTCTGGTACCAGTTTCTTGCAGTGTCCGCCTGAAGGGCAAGCCGGGCAAGCATTGAGGCGGACCACAAGTCCAAAAACATCCGAGGCTCTAGCACCAGGGCGCATAGAACTCCACGAAGCTCAGCCCTGGCCTTTCCAAATCATTCGTATCAAACACTCAAAATTAAACAAAAATCTCACAGATCAATCATGATCAGTCCGAAAGCCCTCAAAGCAACCCGAACATGGCGAAACCATCAGACGCGTGAACGAGATACACTCCAAATATGGGATAATGATTATATATATATGTATATATATATGACTATATAATGATTTTGCAAATCCATGTATGTGTTAAATCCCACCATAGGCAAGTTAAACCTTTCTTTATCCTTTGCACTGCTGCAGCTGGCACTTTACCACAAGGACATGAATTGGTTGTTTGATGTTTACCATAAACAAGGCAAAGCGAATGTGCTCAGTTTGTCTGCAACTTATAGCGAATTGGATTGCCTGCGTATCTGACCAGAGAACACAGGCAGTAAAGATACACCAACACAACAAGAGCCAAAAGAAAAGTACCCAGCGGCAGCTCCCACCTAGAGACAGCTTCTGAAAAGTTTCCAGTGGCCAGGTCTTGTACCGTGCCACTGGCAGCAGCTTCAACCTAAGACTAAAAATCATTTTAACAATTGCAATTTTCAAGTAGTAAAAATTGAGATACAGTCGTCACAAGAACCCAAATCACCACATCTGATAAGCTGTCCAACAAATGTGTTGCTGTCTTCTGTCCCTCTACTGAGCCACACACAAAAAGAAGCCTGGATGAAAATACCAGCTGCCCAATCCTTCGCAGCGACCCCACAAGCTGGGCTCAAGAGACCCATGAACCGTTCATCATGAATCCAAACATATCCTTTTTGATCCTGTTTGAAAGTACTGTATCTTTGTACTGTATCCTTTTTCTGCAAAATATAATAAATCAATCAAAACTACTGACATCACAAGATCAAGACACTCAGGCACTCATAGACACCAGAGACACCAGAGACACGAGGCACGGCACTGGCCTCCATCTGGATATCACAAACCACGATTCTCTGCGGCCTCGTTTCCTGGCGATTGCGCTAGTGACACAAGTGAAGTATCTTTAACATGCACCGATATCATTGATTATCATTGACCCTAGGTCAAAACATGTCAAAACCAAGTGCATCATACATCAGAGTATATCAGGTGTGCAGTGGTCCATTTATATTTGCCGCTTATTTGATCTTATTTGAATCTATTTGTTCTTCCTTCGTCACTTCAACCTCAATGGTCGTGCACGACAGGCCTGAAAGCCTGTGAAGCTTTGGAAGGGCCCTGCGAGAACATGACCTGTAAGAAGCGAACCAAAAAAGAAAATTATGGGAGTTAGGATGAAGCCAAAGCACGTTGATAACACACAGGAATCACCAGGGCAACGCTTGCGGCCTCCAGAAGGGAAACTAATCACGCAGATACTTGCATCTCCATTTACGAGACGCTGTGCTAATGTGGCAATGATCTTGATGCCTTTGCAAGTTCACAGCTTAAAGTTAATATACTATATCTTTATACTATGAAGTAGTGTGCGCTTGGTTGTTTCTGAGTCTGGTATTTGATACACTGACAAAATATAAGAACATGTTGCACATGGTCAGCCAAGATGGTTATCACAAGAGCCAGACTCTTGCCTTTCCTACAGCATGTCACTTTGCAACATTTTGTCGGGTGCGGATCCTATGTGGAATAGTCGCTGTTTTGTGACACTCATGGCTTTATCTGTTGGGCCCTAATGGCTTCACACAAGCGAGGTGCAACCCTAAAAAAAAACAGGCCTGCACAAGATGAAGCTGCACTAATCTGGTTGGATCTGCTCTTTGTGGACTTCAGATACAGTATAGAAGTATAGAATGAACGTCAGTGGACTATGGATCGGAACTGCCCTTCCTACGCTTTTCTCAAAGCAATAAAATATGCTCACTGTGCTGCATGATTGAGGACTTTTCTCCACTAGAGACAAGACCTTGTCCGCTCATTCGTCGAAGCTTAGGATTTCTGCGATTCGCATCTTGCAGCTGTGCTTGTTCTTCTTGTGCTGCCTGCTTTGGCAGTGCCGGTGCCTTCTCCTGGTTCTCCTGCTTCTGTTCTTGCTTCTGTTCCTGCTTCTGTTCGCTCTCTTTCTGTTGCTCCTCTTGCTTCGGACGCTCCGCATTTGACAAAGACCTCACTGGTGTGGAATTTTCTCTGGGTCGCTTTCTCTGATAAGCAGCTTGCCCAGCGGCAGCACGCTGTGCCATGGCAAAGCGCTTCGCCTGAGGGACGAAGAAGGAAAAATGAGTATGGACAAAGTCGAAATGCCTTCCCTTCAGGAGAAGATAAGACAAGATCCACGTGTTGACTCAACTGTTTTTGGGCCGTCCATTTCTGGTTCTAACTTTTGACAAAAACTATTTGTTTGAATGCGTTCAACTCGCTACGGAAAAGACATGAAAGCACTGACCCGAATACTGGTTTGACTTGTATGGCGCCCCATCCCTGCAGCCGGGCGGCTGTGGAATGATTGGTTGATATGGCCTTCGTTGCTACCTGAGACAAAGGCAAATGAAAAAAAACAATACAAACGTGGTGTAACATAGTGTAACATACTATAATATACGGTAACATACTGTAGCATACTGTGACGACATTTCCTTTCAAAAGTCGTTTCTGCTGTTTGCTTCAAGTCATGACAAACATGAATGACTTGCAGTCAGACTGACTGTCGGCCAAGGATCGGAGAGAGCTGCTTGCAACGCATCGCCTGCGTTTTTGATGCCTGGCAAGGTGCACGGAATCAAATCGGATGGCACATGTTGTATGAACCAAAACATTTTGCTTGGTGCAGCAGTGGGGCAGCTTAGATCCACAAGAATGATTGGGGTAGGAAGAGAAAAAAATAGGAAATGAAATTCAAAGGAACGCTCAATCTCGCAAGAATTTGTTCGCTGTCTGTGGTTCGCACACTTCGCTTTCATCTTCCCCCGATTGTATTGTGACCCTAGCGTGGTGAGCCTTTCTCGCACCCATTCATTGCTTTCTTAAGCAGCGTCCCTTCCTCAGTCGATAGAAATGCCGGTGTGGACAGTCGTGGCGTCGTGGTTTCAATTCAATCTGAACAAGATGAACAAGGCTGAACAAGGTCAAGGAATGTCAAGGAATGTCAAGGAATGTCAAGGAATGTCAAGGAGCTGGGGGCAAAATGTTGCCCTTGCTATCGCTGACGTCGGGTTCGATGTACATTTTCACTTTTCGTTTCTCCGATGAAAAGCAAGCCTCAGTCACATGGTTCAAACATGTTCAAACATGTTCACACAACGTCGTGCTGAGAAACATTCACATCTATAAGAATATATATACATAATTTCATATATCATATAATGTAAGAAATATAGAATATAATATAAGTATTGAAATTATATAATATCAAATAATGAAATATTATATAAAAAGAAATACAATACATTACAATACATTACAATACAATACAATATAATATATATAATATTTTTATTTAATATAATATAACATACTACAAAATATATAATACATACTACATACAACAAAAAACAATGAACATAATACATAATACATAATATAATGTAATGTAATATAACATGTCATAAAGCAAAAAATAATAATACGACAAAAAATAATATAATATAATAAAATATAATACAAGATAATGTAATATAATATAATATATTTTGAAATAGTTTAATACAATATGATATAATTAAATTTAATATAATATAATATAGCGCAGTATTAAAAAAATATAATCTGATATTAAAAAATATACTGTATAGAATATAATATATTAAATTACAATATAATAAATTAAAAATAATATAAAATAATGTAATATGAAAAAATATAATATAACATAACAGTTAAATAAAATGATACAATATAATAAACATAAAAGTATAATATAACATCACATAATTGAAAAATATAAAAATATGTGAGATAGCACAACGAAATATAATATAACACAAAAAATATATAACATAACATAAAATAATATAATATCATATCATATCATATAAATGTACAGATATATATATATATCATATATTCACATCTTGTTACTCAATCACGGCATATCACAATGCTTGGCCCTATTGGGTTCTCTCCATTGGCAGGGTGGGGTGCACCGGATGAGGACTTCCCAGGATCGTTAAGCATAAACCGTGCCTGTCAGCATTTAGGCAGTTGGACCAAACAGGGTGGGAAACAAAATATTGATAGAACCTGCGGCTTAAGAGTTTGGGTTTCCCGATGCCTATGTTGGACCGCAAAGGGATCTATGGTTTTCTTTGGAAGTGACGCCATCGTCGACACATCTTGTGCCAAGATACTGCTCTTTGCGAAAGCTTTTCAGCTCGACCACGTTCACATCTGAAAATACAGCCTTGCAAGCGCTAGAATGGGAGTATCTGTGGTGCCTGCCCTTGACTTCAGAGAGCATGGGTTGGGTGGCACAACGCGATTATTATTTAGCCTCAGCTATAGCAGCTATCTTCAGTCTTCTTTCCATCCAGAAATCTGACGCCCCCCGGAACATGCGCCTCTGAACGTGTCAAGGCCAAGGTTTTGGAAAGCCTTTCAGGCTGAAATTTGCATCGCAATAATGAATAACTTCTACATGGCGCAGCGGCGAAACAGTCACATCTTGTCACATGTGGCGCTGTTTCCCCTGTTTTTGCTCCCATCGTTCAATCATCCAAGGCTACCCCATCAATCCTCCAGTTGATGCCGCTTGATGCTACACGTCTCCGACGTCTCAGCCTCATGAAGGTTTTCTTCATGGGGCAGAAAGGTGTTGCACTTCATACTGGCTTCGCTGCGGCGCAATGAAGCCCAAGCCAGCGGCCTCTGAACACCAAAGGCAACTCTGAAAGCAGAACTTGTCCGGCAACTCACAGCTTGTGCTTGGTAGGTTGTACAGTATTGACAGTATTGAACGGTACGGGCATAAGTTCTAATAGTTCTACATGCCGTACATGCCTAGAAGTTGTGTATCTCCTGTGGTGGACTGTGCCAGGGGCCTCAAGCCCTTATCCGCACACTCTGCAACCACCTCTTCCGCCAGAGCAGAGATGCGTTTGCCAGACACACCACTGCCAGCTTTGCCCAATAACCGAAAGCTGACGGCAGCTCCACCTGGAAACCTTGGCATTGGCAGCGCGGCCAGATTTGGGTTGCTGGAGCTGCTAGAGTCCTATTCTAGCCAAGTGGCCCAAAGAAGATGCCTTCCATATCCTTCCAGAACATTAACAATAATCCCCTTCACCCTTCTTGAAAAAAAGCATGAGAATATGATCGAAGGAAGTTTATAAGCCAAACTTCCGACAATATGGACAGATGGAAAAGCGGAGGTGGGAAGAGTCAGAGAAGAGAAGAGCAGAAGAGAGCAGATCAGAGAAGAGAAAGAGTGAGAAGAAAGAAGGTGCAGGTGCGCGAAAAGGTAGCAAAGTCGCGAAACACTATGTTTTTCCAATGATTTGTGGCTCCGGAGGGTCGAAAAGTAGGCTCGCTAAAGCAGCGGGCGCGGAGCCATGTGGCCAGATGAGAGATGAAAAATTGCACGCCGTTGTGGCGCGAAGCACATTCGAAGTCAAAATGTACAACACACACACCATTCTCGGACCACTTTTGGAAGTTGAGATGTCGAAAAAGTGCTCGCCGTTGCGGCGCGAAGCACATTTCCAAGCCAAAATGTATAAAACACTCCCTGGGACGCCGCTGTGGCGCGAAGCACACTTCCAAGCCATAATGTGCAAAACACATCATTCTCGGACCACTCTTGGAAGTTGAGATGTCGAAAAAACCATTTTTGGAAGTTGAGATATCGAAAAAGTGCACGCCGTTGTGCTGCGAAGCACATTTTCAAGTCAAAATGTTAAAAAAAAACACTTTTGGAAGTTGAGATGTCGAAAAAGTGCACGCCCTGGTGGTGCGAAGCACATTGCCAAGTCAAAAAGTTAAAAACACAACATGCTCGGACCACTTTTGAAGGTTCAGATGTTGTTTTACGTGGCAGGTGCAAGGGATTCTGCACCTTGCCAAAAGTGAGCAAAAAAACGCGAAGGTTTTGGAGCAGTTTCAACTACAATAACCACCACTACACTACACTACACTACACTCCATTCCACTACAACTACAACTACAACTACAACTACAACTACAACTACAACTACAACTACAACTACAACTACAACTACATTACACTACACTACACTAAATACATTACACTACACTACACTCCACCACACTACACTCCACCACACTACACTCCACTACACTACGCTACACTCAATTACACTACACTACACTACACTACACTACACTACACTACACTACAAATACAACAACACCTACTACAGCTACAACTACACTACATTCCACTACACTACACTACACTACACGAATTACAGTACACTACACTCCACGGCACTACACTACACTACACACAAATACACTACACTCCACGGCACTACACTACACTACACCCAATTACACTACACCCAATTACACTACACTCAATCACACTACACTACGCTACACTACACTACACCACGCTACACTACACTACACTACACTCCACTACGCTACCTTACACTCCACTACAACTACAACTACAACTACAACTACAACTACAACTACAACTGCAACTCCACTACACTACAACTACAACTACAACTACAACTACAACTACAACTACAACTACAACTACACTACACATTACAGTACACTACACTCCACTTCACTACGCTACACTACACTACACTATACTACACTATACTACACTATACTACACTATACTACACTACACTACACTACTTACATTACACTACGCTACACTACATTACACTACGCTGCACTACACTCCACCACACTACACTCCACCACACTACACTCCACTACACTACGCTACACTCAATTACACTACACTACACTACGCCACACTACATTACGCTACGCTACGCTACACTACACTCCACTACGCTACATTACACTCCACTACACTACACTCAATCACACTACGCTACACTACGCTACACTACACTACACTAACTACTACTAAACTACACTACACCACACTGCCCTACTCTACACTACACTACATTAATTACACTACACCACACCACACCACACCTCACTACACTACACTAACTACAATTACAGCTACAGCTACAACTACAACTGCGCTTCTTCACGCTACAGTACACTAGACTACACTACACTACCCTACATTACACTACACTCATTACACCACCACACATGCAACTGCAACTACACTACACTAATTACATTACACCACAACTACAACTCCACTACACTACAACTACAACTACAGCTGCACTACACCACACTACATCCAGCAGTTGTGGGTGAGGTGACCGACCAGGTGACCACTGCAACCATTGTAACCAATCCAAAAAACACAACTCCAACCATCTTTCAGTCCATCAGTGGATTCGCTCTGCCATCCGTGATTCACAACAATCAACCTCTCCTATAGGTTTCCTACTTTTGAATACTTTTGAAACATCCGCCACCGCCTTGTGCGGTACTACTGGTATGGATTTGATCTGGTATGGTATTGGTCACTGACGAGCCAAGACATGGTAATGGTATGTATGGTATTTTTCACTCACGAGCCAAGACAGGCTGCTAAAGCATATCTATTCAATGCAAGTGAATCGCCGACATGTTTCTGCTACTTGCTTGAACTTGCCCTCAACAAACTCACCTGGTTCTGAAGTCCACTGGGGGCTTCAGATTTGACAAGTGTTCGGTCCGGTCCTCTGGCGCCAATAAGGCACAGCTCGCACAGTTTGTCCACGTACCCCGTGTCAACCGTAGCGACATTGGGCATTTGGAACAACTGTGGTCAGAACCCTCCGCTGAAGCTACCTCTACGTTCGTCTTGTATAATGTTGTGGGTTGATTCTAAAAGGTTGTCTTTGCCTGATGCGATGGAGCGTGACTTCAATTTAAGTCTCTTGCTTCGCTACCACCAAGTGCCATGGTATCATCCATAGATTGGTTTCCTAGACTCGGATGATGGGAAACATCCCACAAAGCCCCTAAAGATAGTGTGTAGTAAAGACCAATGTGACCATGGTGACCATAGTCTCCAATGCGTCCTTGCAAACCAATCCGTTGGTGGTTCAGAAAACAAGACAATGCAAATATAATACTGAATAATTATTACATACATACATACACATAGCTATAACATAGACCCGGGCAAGCCGGCGGCGGAAGTTTCCCAAACATAAATGACCTATAGTTCAAAGACAACCTGTCCCGACCGTGTCCTTCCCTCGACACTCCACACCTCACACTGCACACTGCACTCTTCGCACTCTTCAAACTTCACACTCCACACTTCACACTCCACACTTCACACTTCACACTTCACACTTCACACTTCACACTGCGCTCTTCGCACTCCAAACTCACAGTCCACACTTCACACTTCTCACTTCACACTTCTCACTTCTCACTGCTTCCTTCACACTCCAAACTTCACACTTCTCACTTCGCACTTCACACTTCACACTTCACACTCCACATTTCACACTTCTCACTTCTCACTGCTTCCTTCCCACTCCAAACTTCACACTCCAAACTTCACACTTCACACTTCTCACTTCGCACTTCACACTCCACACTTCACTCACACTTCACACTTCACACTCCACACTTCACACTTCTCACTTCCCACTGCTTGCTTCACACTGCACACTTCACGCTGCACTCTTCACGCCCCACACTTCACACTGCTCTAAACCTACGTGCAACAAAAAAACAGTAGCACCAAAATGGAGAAAATCTGCTAACAAATCCATTTCGCAGCCTTCATGCAGCCAGTCCAAGACGATGTACGAGATCCAGCTGCAAAAGACATTACGCATGCAGCCAAAGCAAGAAGCAACCTGGACGCAGCCATTCCAATGCGATCTGCGGAGACTGAGTTGCAAAACACAAGAGAACTACGCGCAATGGCATCGGAAATTGTAGCTCCAAAACCGGATCTCGACGCCAGAGCGAAAAAAAGACGATTTTGAAGCACTTTTTAAAAGGATTTTAGAAGGAAAATCACTAGCGCCAAAATGGAGAAAATCTGCTGACAAATCACTGTCGCAGCCTTCATGCAGCCACTCCAATACGATTTACGAAGTCCAGCTGCAAAAGACAATAGTATTACGCATGCAGCCACAGCATGAAGCAACCTTGACACAGCCGTTACAATGCGATCTGCGGAGACTGAGTTGCAAAACACAATAAAACTACGCGCAACGGCGTCGGAAATTGTAGCTCCAAAACCGGATCTCGACGCCAGAGCGAAAAAAAGACGATTTTGAAGCACTTTTTAAAAGGATTTTTAGAAGGAAAATCGCTAGCGCCAAAATGGAGAAAATTTGCTAACAAATCCATGTCGCAGCCTTCATGCAGCCACTCCAATACGATTTACGAGATCCAGCTGCAAAAGACAATAGTATTACGAATGCAGCCACAGCACGAAGCAACCTTGACGCAGCCATTACAATGCGATCTGCAGAGATTGAGTTGCAAAACACAATAGAACTACGCGCAACGGCGTCGGAAATTGTAGCTCCAAAACCGGATCTCGACGCCAGAGCGAAAAAAGACGATTTTGAAGCACTTTTTAAAATTATTTTTAGAAGGAAAATCATTAGCGCCAAAATGGAGAAAATCTGCTGACAAATCACTGTCGCAGCCTTCATGCAGCCACTCCAATACGATTTACGAAGTCCAGCTGCAAAAGACAATAGTATTACGCATGCAGCCACAGCATGAAGCAACCTTGACGCAGCCATTACAATGTGAGTTGCAAAACACAATAGAACTACGCGCAACGGCGTCGGAAATTGTAGCTTCAAAACCGGATCTCGACGCCAGAGCGAAAAAAAGAAGATTTTGAAGCACTTGTTACAAGGATTTTTAGAAGGAAATTCACTAGCGCCAAAATGGAGAAAAAAACGCTTTTGGTGCGAGACTTCCTTCAAAACTCCATCGGCAACTCATCCACCAGCACCACTTGCAATCCCATTTACATTGCGGGAACGATCCTACAGTTGCAAATCACAATGGAATTCTGTCGACCGCACATGCACGAAAAACAGTTGAAACCCCATTTACAATGCGGAACCGATCCGAGCATGATCCGAGACCGATCCGACCATGATCCGACCACACACGAGACCTTCTCGCAACCGTCGCACCGCAGAGGTAGATCATCGAGGTTCGGGGACGGACTTTGTATGGAAAAACATAGGGTTTCGTGCATCTGCTATCTCTCAAAAACGCATTTCGTGCGAGACTTCCTCCAAAACTCCATCGGCAACTCCTCCACCAGTACCACTTGCAATGCCATTTACAGTGAGGGAACGATCCTAGAGTTGCAAATCACAATGGACTTCCATCAGCAACTCATCCACCAGCACCACTTGCAACCCCATTTACAATGCGGGAACGATCCTACAGTTGCAAATCACAATGGAATTCTGTCGACCGCACATGCACGAAACACAGGTGACACCCCATTTACAATGCGGAACCGATCCGACCATGGTCCGAGAATGATCCGACCATGGTCCGAGAATGATCCGACCACACACGAGACCGTCTCGCACCCGTCGCACCGCAGAGGTCGATCATCGACGTTCGGGGACGCACTTTGTATGGAAAAACATAGGGTTTCGTGCATCTGCTATCTCTCAAAAACGCATTTCGGGCGAGACTTCCTTCAAAACTCCATCGGCAACTCATCCACCAGCACCACTTGCAATCCCATTTACAGTGAGGGAACGATCCTAGAGTTGCAAATCACAATGGAATTCCATCGGCAACTCATCCACCAGCACCACTTGCAACCTCATTTACAATGCGGGAACGATCCTACAGTTGCAAATCACAATGGAATTCTGTCGACCGCACATGCACGAAAAACACTTGAAACCCCATTTACAATGCGGAACCGATCCGACCATGATCCGACCATGGTCCGAGAATGATCCGAGCATGATCCGACCACGCACGAGACCGTCTCGCAACCGTCGCACCGCAGAGGTAGATCATCGAGGTTCGGGGACGGACTTTGCAGGGAAAAACATAGGCTTTCGTGCATCTGCTATCTCTCAAAAACGCATTTCGTGCGAGACTTCCTTCAAAATTCCATCGGCAACTCCTCCACCAGCACCACTTGCAATCCCATTTACAGTGAGGGAACAATTTCTTTGACTAACTCGTTCCCTAACGAACTCTTTCTTTGCTAACTCTTTCTTTGCTCTTTCTTTGACTAACTCTTTCTTTGCTATTTCTTTCTTTGACTACCTCACATATCCTGACTAACTCTTTCTTTGACTAACTCTTTCCCTCACTAACTCTTTCTTTGACTAACTCTTTCCCTGACTAACTGTTCCTTTGCTAACTCTTTCTTTGACTAACTCTTTCCCTCACTAACTCTTTCTTTGACTAACTCTTTCCCTCACTAACTCTTTCTTTGACTAACTCTTTCCCTCACTAACTATTTCTTTGACTAACTCTTTCCCTCACTAACTCTTTTTTTGACTAACTCTTTCCCTGACTAACTGTTTCTTTGCTAACTCTTTCTTTGACTAACTCTTTCCCTCACTAACTCTTTCCCTGACGAACTCTTTCTTTGCTAACTCTTTCTTTGACTAACTCTTTCCCTGACATTTTCCCTGACTAACTCTTTCTTTGACTAACTCTTTCCCTGACTAACTGTTTCTTTGACTAACTCTTTCTTTGACTAACTCTTTCCCTGACGAACTCTTTCTTTGCTAACTCTTTCTTTGACTAACTCTTTCCCTGACATTCTAAAAGTCCGTAACACGGAAGTTTCTCCCCCTAAATAACTCTTTCCCTGACGAACTCTTTCTTTGCTAACTCTTTCTTTGACTAACTCTTTCCCTGACATTCTAAAAGTCCGTAACACGGAAGTTTCTCCCCCTAAACTTCCTTTGATAAATTTGAACAAAGGGAATCCATGTTTTGGAATATTGTTTGTCTGTGTCTTTGCACAGTCTCCTCAAGTTGAAAGGGCTTCAGACGGTACAGTATCGGACTGTTCCATGTAAAACATTGTAAAACCATGTAAAACCATGTTCAGGATGAGTTTTATGCAAAGATCACTCCCCCCAAATGCACAATGGTGTAGCGTCTGTTTTGCCTTGGTACTCGCACAACCTCTCTGAAACCTGAAAGCCGGTCTACAGCAACTTTATCGGCTGGCTATCCTTCAATGGGATTCTCTATTGCACCCAGTATCCAGTGCCCTCCAGTGCCCATTTTATTCTGTCAGATCTGCAGCGACGCTGATGCAGCGCCACGACGCGGCAGCAAAACCAAGAAAGCTTGTGCCACATTCACCTGGGGTGACCGGATCTGAAACGTGGAGTGCCTGTTCTTAGGTTCCGTATGGTTCCGTGGACTGAACCAAACCCATTCCAAAGCACAAAGCCATTGCAATGCAAATTGATTGTGCACTCAATGTACTTTATCTGAAGGCAGCATTGTCACGAGCAGAAAGGAAAACAATGTCAAAACGATTCAAAAAGTGCACTCCATATCTCGGTATACAGTATATCTGCTAGTATGAGGGCTATCCAGGCTATCCAAGGGAGCATTCTCGATAGAACGGTGGACATCATAGAGCCTTCGCCGACGCTGGGAATTCTTTGGCATCCAGCTTCGCTGCAGCTTTGATCAGAACCTGGGTGGCCATAGCAGCCATGGGCCTATGTCTTTCAACAGACCTGTAGTACGTAACCGTATGTATAAACCTAAGGTGACTCAGTCAAACTCAACGTCCTGTCCTGCTGAAAATCCTCTTCTAATATCAAGCTGAGCCACACAAATCCAAAAATCCTCCTTCTTCGTGCCGCAGAGTATCGCAAGATACTCTCCCATAAAGCTGTTCAACAGCTGCGGCTCCAGCAGTTCCGGCCGCTTGACCCGGCACCTTCATCTCTGGGCGGATGGAGATACAGGGTGCATCCTCTGAGTGTCCCGGAGGTCCCGGACGAATCAGCCAAACTCGTGCTGGTGGCCCTTCACAATTGGATGAGTGAAATTCACTCACTTCAATGATGTCAGCTCGAGGTTTTGCAGGACTTTGACCCTTCAGTGAAATGAACAGTTCGTAGATATGCACGTAGAAAAGCTGGATCAAAATAGCAGCTACCAGGATCAAAATCTCCAGCCGCATGGCCATGTTGATCGGTTGGGCAGTTTCGGGCAGAGCGTCGGAATGTGATGGATCTCCATAATGAATCCTCCTTCTGTTTAATACTGGCATTAATCTCAGGAACACCACACCATGTTCAATCGCGGAAAATGCCAACTTGGGTTGCTTCTGGTGTCTCACTTTAGGCGGCGATTCTTGTCTTGCAGAGCGATCTGATGTGTTGGTACAAACCTAGAGCAAGAGGAGGTTCTACGCTAAGGATGACCTTCAGTGTGATAGAGCCATGATGAACTCAACTCAGTTGCGGTCATGCACTTGCAGCAAACAGCTGCTTGAGCAGTGCTCGTACACTTCAGGAAACTCCCCGAAACAGTCAAACAAACAACATCCAAATGCCTTTAGACTTGGCTCAGAGGTTTCCATGTTTCCGCCGCAGTCTAAGCTCTCAAATTGCGGTTGTTGCATGTGCGTGTGCAACACGCGAAAAGATGTGTATATATATATACATATAATTATAATTATATAAATATTTAATTATATATATATATTAAAAAAAATATATATATATATAGTTATATATAATATTATATATATCATATGATATATAAATATATATATACATATATATTATGATATATATATATATATTATGGTATATTAATATATATATATATATTATGATATGTGTATATGTAAATATATTATGATGTATACATATTATATATTATATTATATATATTATATTATATATATATATATTATATTATATTATATTATATTGTATTATATTATATTATATTATATTGTATTATATTATATTATATTATATTATATATATATTAGATTATATATAATATATAATATATTATATATTATATAGTATATATTATATATATATTATATTATATATGTTATACATTATATTTATATTATATTATATTATTATATTCATTCGTATTGTATTTTTGGATATACTTTATTTGCAAGTGACAACTGTCCTCTGATACCCTTCCAATTTGCATGAGATAGGTGTCGCATCACAGGGGCTTCTAGCCTGTACCCGTGGATTTGTATCCAAGAGCACACGAAGCCGGAAACGCGGGCTCTTGGACTCCGTACGAGGTATTTGATGCTAGTTGTACTTTTTACCAGTTGTTTGGAGGGGGCAGAGAAACCACGGTGATTCAATCCTACAAGTTTCCCGGCGGCATCTCGCCACCGCACTGCTTAAGCTTTTCCCCATGGCATCAGCCAGATCTAGCAAGGTCTGCCAGCAACTGCGAGATGCGGCGTTCCAGGGCCAGTTCCCGCTGGGTCTTTCCGTCCTGGCATTCGGCGGACTGGAAGTGCTGTGGAAGCACAGCACTCATAGAATGTCCACGTGGTCCATGTGGTCCATTTGGTCCGTTCTGGTCCAACTAAGACACTCTAAGTGAAGAGACTCTGAAGACTACAGGACGCTTTTCTAACGGTTTGCCATGACAAGTTGTATCTTCCAAGACAAGATAGACAGGAGGGCCGATGCTGGGGTTTTCGGAACCTGAAAAACCCGCAACAACATGGGATCCCACCTGATCTTCCATCTTTGCCTCTCGCAACAAATCCCGCTCCATTTCCAAATTCGAGACCTGCTCTCTCGCATCTTCAAGAAGCCTCTGCGTCTCTTCCAGTTTTTCAGCAAGGCCATCCTCATCTCCCTCGCCAGAAACATTTCTTTCAGAAGTGGTCTTTGACTTCTGTTCCTCAAGTTGCTTGCGAAGTGAGTCACACTCCATCTCTGCGTCTGTTGCACGATCTCTAGCATCTTCAAGAAGCTTCTGCGTCTCTTCCAGTTTCTCAGCAAGGTCATCCTCATCTCCCTCGCCAGAAACATTTCTTTCAGAAGTGGTCTTTGACTTCTGATCCTCAAGTTGCTTGCGAAGTGAGTCACACTCCATCTCTGCGTCTGTTGCACGATCTCTAGCATCTTCAAGAAGCTTCTGCGTCTCTTCCAGTTTTTCAGCAAGGTCATCCTCATCTCCCTCGCCAGAAACATTTCTTTCAGAAGTGGTCTTTGACTTCTGTTCCTCAAGTTGCTTGCGAAGTGAGTCACACTCCATCTCTGCGTCTGTTGCACGATCTCTAGCATCTTCAAGAAGCTTCTGCGTCTCTTCCAGTTTTTCAGCAAGGTCATCTTCATCTCCCTCGCCAGAAACATTTCTTTCAGAAGTGGTCTTTGACTTCTGTTCCTCAAGTTGCTTGCGAAGTGAGTCACACTCCATCTCTGCGTCTGTTGCACGATCTCTAGCATCTTCAAGAAGCCTCTGCGTCTCTTCCAGTTTTTCAGCAAGGTCATCCTCATCTCCCTCGCCAGAAACATTTCTTTCACAAGTGGTCTTTGACTTCTGTTCCTCAAGTTGCTTGCGAAGTGAGTCACACTCCATCTCTGCGTCTGTTGCACGATCTCTAGCATCTTCAAGAAGCCTCTGCGTCTCTTCCAGTTTTTCAGCAAGGTCATCCTCATCTCCCTCGCCAGAAACATTTCTTTCAGAAGTGGTCTTTGACTTCTGTTCCTCAAGTTGCTTGCGAAGTGAGTCACACTCCATCTCTGCGTCTGTTGCACGATCTCTAGCATCTTCAAGAAGCTTCTGCGTCTCTTCCAGTTTTTCAGCAAGGTCATCCTCATCTCCCTCGCCAGAAACATTTCTTTCAGAAGTGGTCTTTGACTTCTGATCCTCAAGTTGCTTGCGAAGTGAGTCACACTCCATCTCTGCGTCTGTTGCACGATCTCTAGCATCTTCAAGAAGCTTCTGCGTCTCTTCCAGTTTTTCAGCAAGGTCATCCTCATCTCCCTCGCCAGAAACATTTCTTTCAGAAGTGGTCTTTGACTTCTGTTCCTCAAGTTGCTTGCGAAGTGAGTCACACTCCATCTCTGCGTCTGTTGCACGATCTCTAGCATCTTCAAGAAGCCTCTGCGTCTCTTCCAGTTTTTCAGCAAAGTCATCCTCATCTCCCTCGCCAGAAACATTTCTTTCAGAAGTGGTCTTTGTCTTCTGTTCCTCAAGTTGCTTGCGAAGTGAGTCACACTCTATCTCTGTGTCTGTTGCACGATCTCTAGCATCTTCAAGAAGCCTCTGCGTCTCTTCCAATTTTTCAGCAAGGTCATCCTCATCTCCCTCGCCAGAAACATTTCTTTCAGAAGTGGTCTTTGACTTCTGTTCCTCAAGTTGCTTGCGAAGTGAGTCACACTCCATCTCTGCGTCTGTTGCACGATCTCTAGCATCTTCAAGAAGCCTCTGCGTCTCTTCCAGTTTTTCAGCAAGGTCATCCTCATCTCCCTCGCCAGAAACATTTCTTTCAGAAGTGGTCTTTGACTTCTGTTCCTCAAGTTGCTTGCGAAGTGAGTCACACTCCATCTCTGCGTCTGTTGCACGATCTCTAGCATCTTCAAGAAGCCTCTGCGTTTCTTGCAATCTTTCAGTAACACCATTCTCATTTTTCTCTTGACTAGACATGCTGGAATGCTGGGAATGTTGTTCCCTGTTCTGTTTGGCAATCTGCTCTTCAACTTCAAGCTCATGCTGGTAGGATCTTTGCATTTCGAGCTGTTCCCTCAGATCCTGCATCTCAACCAGCAACTGGCCATTTCTCAGCTTTGCCCGCCGCAATGCTTGTTGCACATCTGTCTCCCTGCATTCAGCTTGCGAGATTAAACCCGTTAACTGCTGAATTTCCTGCTTCAGCTCCTTGGTTTGCTTCTCATAAATCATCAGCTCGGGCTTCAGCCGCGCAAGTTCCCAGTCCGCATGGTTGGACGACTGTGACGTCTCAAGAAGCACCCGAGCGGCCAGCGGACGAAGCTGCTGCGCATCCTCGATGGCTTTGTCGAGGAGGGGTGGCCGCAAAGCCAGCTGCCGACGCAAACGACACAACGCATCTTCCACCTTTGCCGACAACAACACAACGCAAAGCCAGGCAAGAGTATATACTAAGTACGGCAAAGTTCTGAGGACAAGGAAAATAAGGAAAAGAATGGGAAGAATAAAACCTGAGAGATACACTAGCCCGTATTTCTTGCCTTCATGATCTTCATGTATCACACAAGCATGGCCCGAAACCCAAAGATATGATATGATACTGCAGCAATACTGCCCCTTCAAGCACCAGCTGGATACAAAAAGTGCAAAGACTGACCCGTGGGACACGGGGATGCCTGGCCTGGACCATTTGAAGCTCCATGCGATTCCACGAACTTCCTCCACTTTCTACAGGAGCCATGGCTCAAAGATCTCAAGGTCGCGTCAAGGTCTACAAATCTCTGCGGATGTCTAGGGATGTCTGAAGTTCCTGGAAGCGCTCTGCATGCTTTTTTGCTGTTTGGGGATCCCCATGATCAGCTTTCTCCGCAAGGGCGGAAGGGCTATGCTTTGGACTTGTTTGGGGAATAGACCAACTGGGGGAAGGCCTTCTGAAGCTCTCAATCTCAGCTCATGATGTATGGTATGCAGTCATCCAAATAGTGTGAATTGATGCAAATCAAGCTGCATTGGTTTTGCCACTGGATGGCTGCCTCAGCGTGCTTCTGCCTCCGATGCAGGATGTTGTGGTCAATGAATGTCAACCATCTGTACTGTTGAAGTAGGTCTGTCTTACCATAGTTCCAGTTTGTTTCCCAGCGCTGCACGAATGCTGCATCTGCAAGGTATAAGAGCGGTGTCACGAGCCAGGAAAACCAGAAGCCCGATGAAAGAAAACTGAACATGGGACTGGCATGTGTGACGTGTGTTGATTTTTTTTTGAGAGCTGGATAAAGTTGTGATCCAACGGAGAACACTTTAGAACTTTAAGAACTTCAGCGATTCAAAAACTCGCCCAGCTTTTTCCGCGCTGCCACCTCAGTCCATCGCGTCCAAGATCACCTTGCAATGCCACAACGGCTTAAGGGATGTGGATGCTCTCAGAGTTGGACATGCCCGAACAACAAAAAATCATCCAAGTCACTGGTCATAAATCCTGTTAACTGATGTTAACTGATGTTAACTGCATTCAGCAACGTATTGGCATAAAATAGCATAAAATAGCAGAAGTGGATCTAGCGGAAATTGCATAATATAATCATAATATAGCATAATATAGGCAGCCGAACTTTGGGTCTTTCCACAAGACATCAACACCGAAACCAGGATCGGCACCGGCACCGGCCTTGTGCGTGACCAGCTTTGAGGCTTGTTGGCAGCGCGGTAGCAAGTCATCACATTTGAGTGATGGCTTTTCCAGATACCCTGAGCATTCCTGGCAGGGCTTGAGTTCTTGCAGTAGAGCAACGCTATATACAGTATTATATACAGGAACAGAACACAAAAAGCATCAAAGAGGGAAAGTTTGACTCAGATTTTAGTCCTCTCTCGGCCAAGTCTCCTTTTGGTGTCTCAACCAGTCTTTCTTTTGGCAGTCAGAGCTGCAATAGCGTTTGTTTTTGCACAATCCGCATCTGAATGAAGCATGCTTCCCGCATAGCCTCGGTGAGAGGATCAATCACAAAATATTACAAACTGTTCGATTCAGACAAACAAAAATATCACTAAAATCACTCTTTCCGGGGCAACAAGAAATGACAACAGACAAACAAAGAAAAAGGATCCCGTAACAATCCGGTCAGTCAAGAAGCTCACACAAACCATGTGAAGGATCAAGCCGCTGAAAAACAGAGATGAAGGCGATGGGGTTCTTCTGGTCTTCCCAACTGCTCTCCTTGAATTGGATGTCCAGGCCCAAGGTCTCGTAGCTGATTCCCACAGCTCTGAACCTTCCTCCACCATATTTGTCGGATGGCTCTCCGAGCATCAAAATCACATCCTTGCTTTCGTGAGTCCACTCCAGACCCTGCAAGGGCTATGGCACAGGCATGAAAAAAATGCATGTGGCCAAAATTGTATTGGCCTTGGCGTTCTGCACCCTGTCTCTAAGTCTGGGCTCTCAAATGCAACTTAGGGTATACCACTTGAGTCACTTTTAAGTTTGAGTATGTTTGAGTTATAGAGTTGAATCAACCTGGTCAAATAAATTCTGTTGATGTGCTAGAAAAGTTGAATTAAATTGAACGGCATTCACGAATCCCCAGAGATGGCCTCAGGCAAAGTGCCTCGAAATTGGCTAAATCCCTCCACATTCTCATTGTAGAGGAAAACCACATCAGCTTTGCCGGAAACGAGTCGAACTTGAACACCCAGGGCCTGACACGAGATAATTCGGCGGGCATGGCGGACATGACTCATGACCCCAGCTTCGAGTGCTACTGCAAGGACTTGATTTCGAAACAACGAAGCACCAAGTGCTATGCTATGGATGAAAGATTTATGAAAGTGTCTTATAGAAAATGACAATATCAGGAAATCGTGATGCAAAGTGTCCATTGCCATAGGCCTTGCAGGTCAGATAGCTGCAATCGGAGAAGGATTTGAACTCCAATGGTGGAATTGGTCTCAACTTTTTGGCCAAATCCTCACGGTCAAGAACTGAGACAGGAAGGAATCAGTTCATATTTAATTTCATGTAATTTCAACTGAATGTCAAAAAATGTCTTCAATCTTCAGACATGCTTTCAGCATCGTTCAGCATCTTCCATCAAACCCTTTTGGCGACATCCTCCAGCACGCTGCTGCAGGCAGCCTCATCGCAAAAGGGGCCAAGGAGCAGCAAAAGATTATTTCTCCGAACAGGTTCATGCAGATTCTGGAATCTATCAAAAAATATCAAAAACATCGCTCTAGTCTTGTGAATCCACATCAGCCGCATTCGCAAAGGATCTCAACATCTTTCAAGTCATCAATCATCTGAAGGGCGGGTTTGATTGGGTATGCCAGGAGCTATAAGACCTGTCAATTGTTGATCTCACAAGATGAGGGTATCTTGTTGTCGCTAGACCAGTCAATTAAGCATCTTTGAGTCTCTGGTGCTCCCCCAAACTCCTAAGGGCATCTTGAATTCAGAGCGAGACCAGTTTCTTGTTCAAGAATGTTCAAGAGATGTATTTGCTCATTTTGCTCTAAAGATCTCTAAAGGACGTCGGAGCAGTGGCTACAGGTCACGAGTTCACCATCTCTTTAGGGTGAGCCTCTGAGCCCCCCCATCCATCGGCCCATCGCTGTTTCCTGGTCCAGGCCCAGCAGGTCAATGGCTTCAAAGCAGAGCTCGACGGGCGCTCCGGCAGGCGCTTCCCAAACCATTCGAGCGACGACTCAGTACCTATCTACGACCTATCTACGACCTATCTACGACCTATCGTTGACCCTTGAATCGAATCTATCAGATCTATCAGATCTATCAGATCTATGCGTCGTCTCTATATTGTTGTCGTGCCTCTTTCTCAAGCATGCCTCGTTCCTTCAGCTTTGACTTGCAGCCTCTGGAAGATAAGCAGGTACCACCAATCGTGCTGGTGAGTTGTTGTCTTTTCAAGTTTTTTCACTGAAAAACATTCTATAGTTGGATAAGTTTTTCAATTGCCCTCTTTGCCGGCTATGCCTAAACAAGACGCTCAACTTACAGGAGGTGTGAGGCAAGTGTTCTTTCATGTGTCTGTTTCAACCGCTGAACCTACACTTCTCGTACTGCAGACTTCCCGAATCCTGCACTCCCAACAGCTGCGGCAGAAAGAGGTTAGACAAAAAACCTTCTCCGCACGCTCAGCTTGGGCACTCAAAACAGACCTTCCTATGTCAAATTTGCTATTTCTCAGATTCTCCGTCTTGGATTCACCTTAAGTAAGAAATATTCAGACAGTAATAATACACGACTTTAACTGACCTGTTGCGGCCTTTTCCAAGCACTTGTGTTGGGTGACTTCAAGACATTCTGCGACGTTTTATGACCTGGATCTCCTGAGTTGCCGCGCGAATCAGCCAACTGCAGGAGGTCGCGAGTCGCAACACTTCTACAAGATTCTACAAGAACTAAGGATTGTAACAGAAGCATTATAAAAGGCGGTCACCACGGATGGTGACATGCACGAATTTATAAGATCTGCACTCGAATTCCTTCATCTCATGGCAACATTGCAACATATTGCAACATCAGTAAACTCAGTAAACCTCCAGCAAGAAGACGGCGTGGCGACTCCATCAGGCAGCCGAGGCATCTGCCGAGAAATTCTGAAGATCCTGCAGCTTCAATCGCAGCTGTGCCAAGGGTTCTGGTGAGCCGCTCTTCTGACCTGTAGGACCTGCGCCTACTGCGCGGACCTGCCGAGCAATTCGCTCCTCCCAGGGACATGAGATGAGATGAAAGAAGATGAAAGAAGAAAGGAGAAGGCCGGAAAGGAAGGAAAGTACAGGAAATGATGGGTTAGGGAAATGCTTATAATCTTTTCCAGGTACCAGCACCATCTATTATTGTAGCATCTTCTACCCTCTACCGCTGTTCAACCATCATTGAGTGCAATGAGCCTTCATGTTTTGTTCATAGAAATGAACAATAAAGTCAACCTTCTGTATCCTTCTGTACATGCGCATGTTGCAGTAATTGCAGTAGTAGTTTACCCATTTGCCGCAATGCCCCTCTCCTTCGGTCCATCTGCTTTGCGGGGTTCACTGGCTTTTCGGTTTGGCGTCGGAAGATTCTTGGGATGATCCTTCGCTCGATCCCTTTGTCTCACCGGTATAGACGGTCCAGGCTCCACATGAGGATGCGAAAACTGAGCGGCTTTCCAATGCAGCTGCTCCAACAACGTTCGAGGACGTGACATCTTTGTGTTCACCTCCGTTCCGTTTTTCTCATCTTTTTTCTCATCTTTTCTCTCATTCCTCTTTGTTTGGTCCTGTTCTTCTGACAAAACCATCGGGCTGCGCTCAGTAGAGCGGGATCCCAGATCTTTCTCCTTCTCTGAACGATGCATCGGATCAGGTCGCCTACCAGGATTGGTCTCTTGCGACAAAACAGGGAAAGTGAGAAATCCCAAACCCGACAACATGGCCTTGGAGTGCTGAACTGCTTGCTGTCAGTGCCTGTAACACGGCACAAACGTTTTCTGTCCCCGTTATGAAATTGGAAGGCCCAAGAGAGGGATGGAGGGCGGGTACACTGAGGTTCCTTTCCCGATGCTTCTATGAAGTCGAAGCAGTCAAACATATCTCAACTATGCAAATGCTGAACACTTTGCTTTAGCATCGCACACGCAATGCATGACAAACTTATCTGCTTATGCTAGCCGCTATCCTATTGGACACTTCTCTGCTTCTCGGTTCCCTTTTTCCCTGCTGAACTTGCACTGTGCGCAAATCATCAAGGTCACTCGTGGACCTTAAGTCCAACTATTCCTTCGTCCTTCTCTTGAAATGAAGACCACAGGATGTCTCACTTGGAAACCATGGGGCTCCAATCCAGCGCTGGTCAGAGCTCATCGTCCAAATCGTATGGCTCATCGCAGGCCTTGGGACACTCAAATCAACTTAAGTTGTCAGCACAACGTGACATTAATATCATCAGCTAGATGCCAACACCAGACTTGGCTTCGGATATGTTTTTCCATCGGGGTACAGGGTACGTTTGCTTTTTGGACATAGGCCTACATATGGCAATGGCTACATAGCGGTCCTTTAGGCCTGTAGACCTCACCTCAACATCTCAACATCTTGGATCATCTTGGATCATCTTGGATCATCTTGGCTTGTTGCCCAAAGAATTATGTCCGAGCCGTCGCCTGTGGCCAGAGCCATCAGAGTCAGATGTTATGCGTATTGGTCCCGAAAAGTCATGGCTCCCTGAGATCGTCTCTATACAAGATGAATCATGATGAATCAAAATGATCAGTTGTGCCGGCCTAAAGTATGTAAGAACTTGTTGAGAAAACTCCAATCGCAAATAACTCAGCGCCTATTCGGCCTTCTCTGACGCTCATGCAGTAGTTCTTGTTGCCCTGGTGTTGTCATTCCAAAGACTCATCCCCGCCATATGGTCTAAAGGGGTGGAAAACAAGAAAATGCCACAGGCGACCAAACATCTATCAGTCAGGTTTCACCAGTCGTGCTGGACGAAGCAAAATGTTTGGACATATGTTTGGAACCGTTTGGAAATTCTGAATACCTGCTGGTAATGTATTCCTGAGCACATGCTAGGACTTGCCTGCTAAACAAATCCGCATAAGCTTTGACACAGCTTAATCGACGACTTCCTACCTATAAACTAAGCATACTAAGCCATCGTCAAACAAGCACTGGAATTGGCAGGAAAAACTTGAGGTTGAGGAGATGTCTTTAAAGTTTGATAAAGTTTGACTTTAGAGGGAATGCCCTAAATGCCCTTGCAACATCGTGCCGGACCTTGTATCTGAGTCGGTCGCCATCCACCACCTCAAAAGCATTGAAATGTATATCATTCTTCCTAAGGAAATCTGGTCTGTTCAAGAGTCATTTCCTCCCTTCGGCACTTTTCACATGCAAAGATACATTGGCATGACATGCATAGATTACTCGGTATGAAATGATGCTGCACACGGTATGCCACCGTCAAAAGACATGACCTGGTTACTGGTTGATGTTGGGTTGTTTTGCTCTCTGACAAGCGAGCTCTGAAAGCTCACAAGCTGTTTAGCCCCAAACCCAGCGATCTGCATATCCATCACCGCAAGTCCACAGAATGATGTCTGCACCATCCTGTGGAAAATGTTCATCACTGGCATGAAAGATTAAGGCATAAAGATTAAGGCATAAACAAGTCAACCTCAATGATGTTTCAGAAACGCTTGCGGACCGCATGCCTTACTCATGCGTTTCGTTGCAATATCTCACTTGAATTCATTTCTGCGTCCTTACTTTGAAAGCTATGTTGACTCTGTTAAAAACATCTGGCCCGGCAGACATCATCTTCAAGGGGCCTGAGCATTGCCTTCCCTGACCGAAAGGCAGTGATTGTTGGACCCATGGTCAAGCCTGGCCATCTGAGACCAGAAAATTCAAAGCTATAGGGTTATGATTTATGATTGATACGGCGGAGATGAAGATAGCTGCAGGGTTGCTGCACGGTTGGAAATCCGCCGACCCCGGCAGACGCAAGGGGGAGCGCGCCAGGGAATAAGACATTTGACTCTTGTCGGACTACTACTACTACTACTACTACTACTACTACTGCTACTACTACTGCTACTGCTACTGCTACTGCTACTGCTACTACTAATACTACTACTACTACTACACTACTAGTACGACGACGACGAGTTTCGAAAAAGCTGTCTGGCTGTTGGTTTCTCGCCTTGGAGGCTGGTTGATGGCACGGCAGGAGCAGCAGCAGCGCAGGAACAGCAAGAGCAGCAGCAGCAGCAGCAGCAGCATCAGCGGAAGACAGCACCAGCAGCGTGCAGCTGCAGCTGTCTCCGTCCTTCACTGCTATGGTGTTTCCCTGTCCGGGACCCACGTTTTTGCAGCAGCCAGCAGGCAGCCAGTACTATACAGTACTATATATAGTCTAAGGTTTTCTAGGATGTATAGTCTAGGATTCTCTAGGATTCTCTAGGATTCTCTTGGATTTCAGATATTTCAGAAGACACGTTAGGCACTTTTTTGCTGCGATTTTGCGCCATTTTTGGCACGAAATTAGGTGGTGTTTTGCTGTTTCGAGTGAGTTTCGAAAAAGATGTCTGGCTGTTGGTTTCTCGCCTTGGAGGCTGGTTGATGGGACGGCAGGAGCAGCAGCAGCGCAGGAGCAGCAAGAGCAGCAGCAGCAGCAGCAGCATCAGCGGACGACAGCACCAGCAGCGGCAGCTGCAGCTGCAGCTGCCTCCGTCCTTCACTGCTATGGTGTTTCCCTGTCCGGGACCCACGTTTTTGTAGCAGCCAGCAGGCAGCCAGTACTATACAGTACTCTAAGCTTTTCTGGGACATATAGTCTGGGATTCCCTAGGATTCTCTAGGATTTCAGAAGACACGTTAGGCACTTTTTTGTTGCGATTTTGCGCCATTTTTGGCACGAAATTGGGTGGTGTTTTGCTGTTTCGAGTGAGTTTCGAACAAGATGTCTGGCTGTTGGTTTCTCGCCTTGAGGCTGGTTGATGGCACGGCAGGAGCAGCAGCAGCGCAGGCAGCAGCAGCAGCCAGGAGCAGCAGCAGCAGGAACAGCAGCAGCAGCAGCAGCAGCAGCAGCCTCCGTCCTTCACTGCTATGGTGTTTCCCTGTCCGGGACTCACGTTTTTGCAGCAGCCAGCAGGCAGCCAGTACTATATATAGTCTAAGATTTTCTAGGATGTATAGTCTAGGATTCTCTAAGATTCTCTAGGATTCTCTAGGATTTCAGAAGACACGTTAGGCACTTTTTTGCTGCGATTTTGCGCCATTTTTGGCACGAAATTAGGTGGTGTTTTGCTGTTTCGAGTGAGTTTCGAAAAAGATGTCTGGCTGTTGGTTTCTCGCCTTGGAGGCTGGTTGATGGCACGGCAGGAGCAGCAGCAGCGCAGGAACAGCAAGAGCAGCAGCAGCAGCAGCAGCAGCAGCAGCGGACGACAGCACCAGCAGCGGCAGCTGCAGCTGCAGCTGCCTCCGTCCTTCACTGCTATGGTGTTTCCCTGTCCGGGACCCACGTTATTGCAGCAGCCAGCAGGCAGCCAGTACTATACAGTACTATATATCCGCCGACCCCGGCAGACGCGAGGGAGAGCGCGCCAGGGAATAATACTTTTGACTCTTGTTTCGGACTACTACCGCAGCCGGCGCAGCAGCAGCAACAGCAGGAGAAGTAAAGCCGGCCTCCGGGGAGCTTGTTATTGCGAATGATTTCGCTCACAAGTAGCAGTAGCAGAGCAGCCAGCTGTTGGCAGGTGCTTTTGTTGCTTGTGCGGTCCACAAGTAGTAGGAGGAGGTAGCAGCAGGCAGCGGCAAAGTTTCAATTTTTGGGGGGTTCCTTTGCTATGTTTTGGGGACGAAATTAGGTGTTGTTTTGCTGTTTCGGATGTTTCGAAAAGGGTGTCTGGCTGTTTGTTTCTTGCTTTGGAGGCTGTTTGATTGCAGCAGCACCACAGCAGCACCACAGCAGCAGCAGCAGCCACCAGCAGCTGCACCAGCAGCAGGCAGCAGCAGGGTGCAGCAGGCAGCAGCAGGCAGGCAGCCGCAGCCTTCAGTGGCATGGTGTTTCGGTGTGGCGAGGGGTACGTTTTGGAAGCCTGCAGCAGCAGTTGCTTTGTTTTTAGCCAGATCCAGAAGGGACGTCAACATTGGATGGATTGGATTGGATTCGATTTCTAGAAGGATTCTAGCAGGATAGCAGGAGAAGGGATAGCAGGATTAGAGAGGATTTCTAGTACGATTTCAGAAGGGACGTTCCGGCCCCCAGGGAACTTGTTCTTGCGATTGATTTGGAGGTCGTTCCGTCCTTCAGGGCCATGGTGTTTCGGTGTGGCGAGGGGTACGTTTTGGAAGCCTGCAGCAGCAGTTGCTTTGTTTTTAACCAGATCCAGAAGGGACGTCAACATTGGATGGATTGGATTGGATTCGATTTCTAGAAGGATTCTAGCAGGATAGCAAGAGAAGGGATAGCAGGATTAGAGAGGATTTCTAGTACGATTTCAGAAGGGACGTTCCGGCCCCCAGGGAACTTGTTCTTGCGATTGATTTGGAGGTTCCGTCCTTCAGGGCCATGGTGTTTCGGTGTGGCGAGGGGTACATTTTGGAAGCCTGCAGCAGCAGTTGCTTTGTTTTTAACAAGATCCAGAAGGGACGTCAACATTGGATGGATTGGATTGGATTCGATTTCTAGCAGGATTCTAGCAGGATAGCAGGATAAGGGATAGCAGGATTAGAAAGGATTTCTAGTACGATTTCACAAGGGACGTTCCGGCCCCCAGGGAACTTGTTCTTGCGATTGATTTGGAGATCGTTCCGTCCTTCAGGGCCATGGTGTTTCGGTGTGGCGAGGGGTACGTTTTGGAAGCCTGCAGCAGCAGTTGCTTTGTTGTTAACAAGATCCAGAAGGGACGTCAACATTGGATGGATTGGATTGGATTCGATTTCTAGCAGGATTATAGCAGGATAGCAGGAGAAGGGATAGCAGGATTAAAGAGGATTTCTAGTACGATTTCAGAAGGGACGTTCTGGCCCCCAGGGAACTTGTTCTTGCGATTGATTTGGAGGTCGTTCCGTCCTTCAGGGCCATGGTGTTTCGGTGTGGCGAGGGGTACATTTTGGAAGCCTGCAGCAGCAGTTGCTTTGTTTTTAACCAGATCCAGAAGGGACGTCAACATTGGATGGATTGGATTGGATTCGATTTCTAGAAGGATTCTAGCAGGATAGCAGGAGAAGGGATAGCAGGATTAGAGAGGATTTCTAGTACGATTTCAGAAGGGACGTTCCGGCCCCCAGGGAACTTGTTCTTGCGATTGATTTGGAGGTCGTTCCGTCCTTCAGGGCCATGGTGTTTCGGTGTGGCGAGGGGTACATTTTGGAAGCCTGCAGCATAGCAGGATAAGAGATAGCAGGGTTAGAGAGGATTTCTAGTACGATTTCAGAAGGGACGTTCCGGCCTCCAGGGAACTTGTTCTTGTGATTGATTTTGCGTCATTTTTGGAACGAAATTAGGTGGTGTTTCGCCGTTTCGGCTGTGTTTCGAAAAAGGAGGATAGCAGGATAAGAGAGGATTCTAGCACGATAGCAGGATAAGAGAAGATTTCTAATACGATTTCAGAAAGGACGTTCCGGCATCCAGGGAACTTGTTCTTGCGATTGATTTGGAGGTCGTTCCGTCCTTCAGGGCCATGGTGTTTGGCTGTTTCGCAACCGCCCGCTAGGACTTCGTTGTGGAGCTGTTTTGAGGGCATGAGAGCTGGCAGCAGCAGTCAACATTGGATGGATTGGATTGGATTCGATTTGTAGCAGGATTCTAGCAGGATAGCAGGAGAAGGGATAGCAGGATTAGAGAGGATTTCCAGTAGGATTTCAGAAGGGACGTTCCGGCCTCCAGGGAACTTGTTCTTGCGATTGATTTGGAGGTCGTTCCGTCCTTCAGGGCCATGGTGTTTGGCTGTTTCGCAACCGCCCGCTAGGACTTCGTTGTGGAGCTGTTTTGAGGGCATGGGAGCTGGCAGCAGCAGTCAACATTGGATGGATTGGATTGGATTCGATTTCTAGCAGGATTCTAGCAGGATAGCAGGAGAAGGGATAGCAGGATTAGAGAGGATTTACAGTAGGATTTCAGAAGGGACGTTCCGGCCTCCAGGGAACTTGTTCTTGCGATTGATTTGGAGGTCGTTCCGTCCTTCAGGGCCATGGTGTTTCGGTGTGGCGAGGGGTACGTTTTGGAAGCCTGCAGCAGCAGTTGCTTTGTTGTTAACAAGATCCAGAAGGGACGTCAACATTGGATGGATTGGATTGGATTCGATTTCTAGAAGGATTTTAGCAGGATAGCAGGATAAGGGATAGCAGGATTACAGAGGATTTCTAGTACGATTTCAGAAGGGACGTTCCGGCCTCCAGGGAACTTGCCATCCTAGGCTCTCTTTAGGATGCCATTTAGAGTTTCATTCAAAGTTTCGTTGGGCTTTCATTTATGGTTTCTTTAGGTCAATTTATGATTTCTTTAGGGTTCCTTTAGTGTTTCATGTAGGGGTTTCTTAGCAGCAATTCTTTAGAGTTTCTTTGGTTTTCACCTAGAGTCTTTAAAATTACTTTGCTTCGAGTGATCCCCACCATGACATTTCAAAACAGCTTGTTGACACCACTTTTGTCTGAAGCTTTTGTCACGGGACTTTTGCCCAACTAACTATCCCAATCATTTGTTTCACCTGGCAGGTCATTGTGCATGTCAGTCTGTCAAACAGGATATAAACATGTCAGTGGGCCATGTGAAGTAAACTCCAGAGCTCTCAACAGGTTTGCTTAAACATGACCAAACAGGCCAGTGGACCACCTGAGCCAAACAAACAAACATGCCCAAACATGTCAGCACACCGCCTGTCAAACATGTTGTAAAAACATGACTGAAACAAGCCAGTGGACCACCTGAACCAAAGTCAAAAGCTCGCAAGCTCGTGTGTAAACTAGACAAAACCATGCCAGTGTTACTTCACCAGATCGCTGCAGCTGCAACTCTCTATTCCTCCACCAGACCTCTTCAATCAAAACCGATAGGTCCCACAGGTAGAGCAACGTGTCAGGCCTATGCCTCCCCCGGACCTCTTCAGTCAAAACCGATTAGGTCCCACTGGCAGAGCACTGTGTCAGGATGCTTGCAATGCATCATAGACAGGCCAGGACTGCAGCCGCTCCAGCGTCGAAGCAGCTTTGGTTTCCAACTTGTCAGTCAGTTCTCGCAAGTAGGTAGGAGGGCCTCTGCGTAAAAGCTCCTCCACTTGCTCCGTGAACCCGAGCAAGATGAGATTCTTCAGTTTGCGGGCACGCGTCAGCATGACATAGATGGCTAGCCACCAGTCGGCATCCTCTAGGCCACCACCACGACGCAAATCAACCAGCACACCTCCGTCCAAAGTCAAGCCTTGCGCGCTGTAAGCAGTGCGCAGCATGCCATGCAAAAGAGGAAACTGCCAGCGAATCACTTCAATTTTCTCCGTTTCCTCGCCTAGCTTCAAATCAATTTTGAACTCTGCATGCAACAATTCCACAAAGAACAATGTCTCTGCGTCAGTTGTGTGATCGGCCACATTCTGAAACTTTTCTTCCCACGTCTGCAACAGAGCATCTTCCATGGCGAATTCTTTCCTTTAAGTAATTTCACCCAGATATCTTTGGCCATGTAGTCCGGAAAAAAATGACAGAATCCAGGTTCCCGACGGTCCAGGCGCTTCTGATCTTCATGGTGCAAATCCACTTTCACTACCACTGCCAGTTTGTCTTTAACCAATCCAAGGTGTGGAGCCAAGACGTCCGCCAGTCGCACAACCATGTTCTCGTGCACCAGTAGCATGCCTTGCAATTTGCCAGTGCGATGCGGGTTTGGAACAGTGAGCAGCTGATGTGTCAGCTGCTTGTCTATGGCTTTATTTTTTCTGGAATGCCTTTGGTCAGCAGCTTGCAAACAAAATAACGGCACATCCAGGTCTTGCGCATCTCGATTTGCCCGTCCACCATGCTGCGAGCAATGTTCTCCCAATACATTCCAATGACGTGACCATGCTTGAACAAGTCCGTGGTTAGTTCTTCAAACTGATCTCTGTCATCTGTTCATGGACCGGAATGCTTTCCAAATCACTTATCCAACACTTTTGAAAGCAGCCACTGGCCAATGTGCTTACTTCCACTCAAACTCCTCGCCTGCGCAGCACTCGCAGATTGGTCACCCTCTGCCATCACCTGCCAAGCAAACAAAAAACACGCAAGAAGACACTACTGATCACACAACCTCCTCCTGCTGAATTCTTCTATGATGATGTCCATCCTGCCTCTGGCCCGCGATCGAGTAGATGAGGGCTCAAATGCTCCAACAAATGTTCCGATGTCACATATCCACCATGCCACCATAGCTGTGATACACAACAGAAACCCTGTGTGATGTTGACTGTCTCAAGCATCAATCCAGCATGAGATCACTTCAAGTAATTTGTAGTAACTTGCTGTAAGATGTTGCCTGTCTCAAGCGTCTTTGCAAACAGCTCCTAAGGTACAGAAGTGGAAATGTCTCTGTCCACCCCAGTGACTCTGTCATCTGTTCAAACTGATTGCTTCAAACTTTGCCACCTGCAAAGTAAGAAGTGGCATTGCCCCGGTCACTCTACCACACACGCGCGAGTTTGCAAGTAATATATAACATACTTGTCTGACATTCTTTCTAACTTTCTTCTGCACATTCTTTGTCCCATATCTTCCTACATGAGGTCCGGCGAGGAACACTTGGCGTGGATACTCGCGGTTGAGGTCCGGCAGGGAACACTGGGCGTGGATGGTCGTGGTTGAGGTCCGGCAGGGAATGAGGTCCGGCAGGGAACACTGGGCGTGGATGGTCGTGGTTGAGGTCCGACAGAGAACACTGTGCGTCGAGGGTCGCGGTTGAGCAGGGGGAGGAGGAGAGGAGAGGAGGAGAGGAGCAGGCAACTGACATAAAATCTAACAACCCTCACCTGGCAGGTGGGGAATTTCATTTAGGATACAAACAGCAGAGAATAGAACAAAATAATTTTACATCTCTTAAGAGTTTTATTTCGGGTTTCTTTTGGGTTTCTGTCGGGTTTCACGTAGGGTTTGATTTAGGATTTTTTCCGGGGTCGGCGGCAGGGGCGGCAGCCCTTAAATAAGTCTGACCTGTCTGACCTAGATTTACATGACTGTCCAGGAAGGGAGAAATTCTCTCAACATGCATGACAGGAGGATGAAATTGGGATGAGAATGAATTTGAAGATGAGAGTGACATAAAGACAACATCACATGCAGAGAAGGCTGCTTCCTCCACCCTTTTCATCAATGCCACTATCAGGATAGATCGTAGCAGAACATTCGTCAAGGTCAGTATATAATGGTATTTATACAAATTGATATAATTTGATATATATCGTGAAGCTGAGATCAAGACACGATGTGCTCGTGAGACACGGCCCAACGAAAGCCGTCCTTGAGACCAGAAGTTTAAATGAACAAATACTACAGTATGCTACAGCATGCTACAGTACTCTTTCATTTTGGTCATCGATTGGAAACTAGAGTGGTGTAGTTGCTTGAACAAAAAGATCTGATCCTAACCATCCCAGCGAGATAGCTGCATCATTCAATGCTTCTTATTTTTCTAGGGGGAACAACACAATTCGAGGAAACTCCACCACTTATCTATCTATCTATCTATCTAATCTAATCTAATCCAATCTAATCCACTCTAATCTAATCTATCTATCTCCCTCTCCCTCTCTCTCTCTCTCTATCTCTTTCTTCTCCAAGATCTTCAAGTGCATGTCTTGGTGTCTGATAAAGACGCGGACGCATAGGTGCTTATCGTTTAGAGACTTGGATCTTTAATCAACTGGTGCGACTCTGACGGCAGCATGACTTGGGGGACCAAACCGTCTCTGCGCAAGACCAGAGAATGATGTCTGAACCTCAGAACACGCAGTAGGTCCAATTTCCCGCAGTAGTAGTCCTTCGTAACTTTTAGTAGGTCCAACAGTATCAACAGTATCCATCCATTTTCCATGGAAAAATGGATGGTCCAACAGTAGGTCCCAAAAAAAAAAATCCACCGATTGCACGGATCCCGGATTGTAGGGATGCTGCCATCGCCCACCTTCCCCTCGCGGACTGAGACCTTGGACTGTGTGACCAATGGCGGATCTCGGTCTGGTGAAAAGCTCAGAAAAAATGATGATTAAAAAAAAACAGTACTATTCAACTATAGAATACTATTCAACTATTCAACTATAGAATACTATTCAACTATTCAATACTAATAACAAATAAAAGTACTAATGAAGAATAATGAACCATATAATAATATAACAATATCATATAGTTTATGATGTCATACAATACCTAGAGTACGTCTTTCAACATCTTTCAACTGCAAGGTGGAGAATGGTGGAGATGGAAACCACTTGGGATCTGACACACTTGCTGCTGTCGGCTTTGGACTTAATCCTGGCCAAGTTGACGCTGTTCGGTTGCTAAACGCTTGGGACCACTTGCAACCTGCCGGCTCCACAAATTTCCTTCGATGGAGAAGAGGTAGGGATTGATGTAACCGGACCTGCGTGGCTACTGAGGCTACTGACAAGCGATGGCTGTCGCGCGCACTGTCGCTCTGTGCTTCTCTGAACTAGATCTATTAGCCAATGGTTGGGACAAGCACCACAGAATCACGTTGGCGCCATCTCCAAGACGGCCTTGTCTCACCTCAGTCATTTCGGCGAGCAAAGTGCAAGATCAAAAAGCACGCTGAATTCGCTGAATGTTGTCTCTCATGTCTCTCCATGTCTCTCCCTCGATGGCTGGAACTTCGCTGGGGATCCTGAGTTGAGGTTCATAAAGATGTCCCGTAGCATCAGTAGTATGTCGACCCGGTACAAATAGATCAACCGGGGACTGAACAGTCATGAAATAGCGCGGATCAGGTTTGTACCTTGCTGCGTGCCACTTGCAATGGAAGGTCAGGAATCAGAGAACAGTAGGGAACAGTGCCAATTCCTGTACGTTTGCTCAACTCGACGCATCTCAACGCACTGTTTTTTTTTTCAACACATGTTCATGCGATTCATGCCACATAAACGTAAAGCTCCTGAATGTAGAGCTCCCTTAACTTGCACAATAGTCATTTGCGGTTCCTTTACTTCTGTGATCCCGGACACGATGGAGCTGCCATCAACCTTCCATCGAAAGGCCTCAAAAGGAGTCAAAAGGTAGTTATGAAACAAGCAGCTGCAGTTAGGATACATCCATTCCAACTGACCGCCAGAGTCATCACAATCTTGGAAGTGTTTCAGCAAGGGAAATGGCCCAAATCACATACTGCGCCAGTCCAAAAAACATGTGCAAGTTAGTCTGGGGTCGTTTTTTTACTTGCACTCGCATTGTAGTGACAGTACAGTTTATGCCATGCAGAGGTTTGAAAGACGCCCCGAAAAGTGATTGTGAATGACTCTCTGTGGTACTTTCTCAAGGCACGTCCACATTCTCGCAGCTCCAGAGAATAATGTCTGCACCTTGCAAGGCAGACTCTCTTGCAAGTGAGATTGCTGGGGACAATGACAAATGCCATATGTACAAATATGTGTATCTAGATATGTGCTTTGAATAGCTGTATAATGTGTTAGCTGTTAACTGCTATGTATTATGATGTGATGTGTATGTATATTATATTATATATATATACGTATATATATATATTTATTTATATTTATACGTACAATATGGCCACTTGACTACTTGTGACCCAACAAGCCTTCCTTCGCAAAGAACAAATAAGCCCCGTGTGAGAGCATTGCTCAGGATCAGGCCGTCGCCGGCCTTACCCTCTCGGACGCCCATGCCTCAATTGAAAAACTGCATACAGCTGCAAAAGGTAGACCCTTGTCAAGAGAGAAACATGGAGAAACCATGTTACAAGCCAACTTCCAAAGCAATGGTATCCTGGTGTTTTTTTGAATCATGACATATCATGACCCTGATTTTCCAATGTGATGTTCTCCAACGCGAGTGTGATCTTCCGAAAACACACAAAAATACTATCGATAGTCATTCCTTTCAATCCTTTCAATTTCTGCAGCCAGCACTTGGGGTGTGAGTCTCCAATACATGGGCTATCAATTGAGCTCATACCCTGGCGAGGCTTGACTGAGGATGTCAACCCTGTAAACATGCGGCCAGCCAAGGGGCCATGACCAAAATTTGTGCTCCATGTACTGTAGAGTTATGTAGAGTTTCATTGGGGTTGGGATTTTTATCCCGTGTGAAAGTAGCAGCATCCCTTTACGTTCCCCTTTGAAGTCTTCAAGGCATCCGGCATCCCTTTGCTTTACGTTCCCCTTTGAAGTCTTCAAGGCATCCGGCATCCCTTTGCTTTACGTTCCCCTTTGAAGTCTTCAAGAACTTCGATGTACAGTAAAGTGTATCGGGGATACTTTTTAATATGTTGTGAAAGAAGCAACCTCCCTTTATATATATTTTTATATGTTGCCCTAATAAAACTGTTCAACTGTATAATGAGAGTCTGCAGGTGCGGGTGTTTTCCCACTCTCCATGCTGCCGCTCCAACCCCGGCTCTGGATGACGAGGGGCAATATTCTGGATGAGCTGCAGACCTTAGGTTGTCAGTTTTTCTATGTATTTCTCGTGTAGCTGGAGTGGTTCAAATTTCTCCATTTGTCTCCTCTTGTCTCGTCTTGTTTCTCGGTTTCAACGTGCCTGTTCGAGCTGGCGAAAAACACGAAGAAACTTTGAAGAAACCATGAATTCAAAAGGATTGCTGCAGGTGTGGCAGGAGTCAAGAGACTGCCACTACCAGCTGTTTTTGAAGTTGCCGTACATGTCCACGACCATCTGATACTCCTACCATGGATATCTAGGGGCCACACTTGATCAAACCATCCTTCACAGTCCACTTGAACTCGTGGCTATCCATGCAGTGCCTCGGTTCACAACAGCGGCTAGTGCTCTTTGCAGCAGGGAAAAAAGGAAACCCTCTGAGATCTTGAGGAAAACGACTTGGCATGACTTGGCATCCCACCACATTATGATGTCAGCTCCATTTGTCACCTTGTCCGAGGTAGCAATGTGTGAATGTCAGATTAGATGTCAAAGGAAAGACACCGAGATGAGACAGCGCGGCACGTGGCAAGGCTGGTATGCAAAACAAAGCTCTTGGAAACCATGAAGAGCAGTCTTCACATTCTTCGCAAGTACCGAACCTCTCCCTTTCGGACGCTGGCACAGTACTTGGAGTCCAGCCTGGTCAACTCTTCGCAAACTGATCCCATGAGTTCATGCTTCATCCTTGTGACATCCCCGAACTTCAGCGGCTCTTTCAATACTCGCTCCTTCCACGGCACAGTGGTCTCAACATGTCTCAACCATTTCTTAAATGGAAATCAATGCAATTCGATGCATCTGGGGGCCGTTAACAATACTAAGTAGTTGGTGCCTAGTACGCAAAGTGCTTCTTGTGCCTAGTCGCTGACTAATTGATGAAATACGACCTGTACTGCTAGAATCTCCTTGATGCATCAAGGATCAAGGATTTTACTCGACTCATCCCGTAAAACCCTTGGGCCACAACGATGATTTGATGTAAGGCCCTTCCACAATCCAGATGTTCCTCAGTCCGCGCGAAATTTCGGCTTTCTTGTGGCATTGGACTTGCATGGAAAACAACTCCGCCACACCGACAAACAACTGGATCTGTTGACTCCGCTTAGATATCTCTCGTCTTCAGCTGATCAACGCTTCACAAGTTCAGTGTAGTTTATTCCAAGGTGATGCATAGAGAGAGATTCAAGTAAACCAAGTAAACTACACAGGTGATATTCAACAGCACAATGCGTTCCAGCAGGATTTGCCGTCCCGTTCCCACAGAGGCATGGACTCACTTGCCATAGATTGCTGCCTGCAAACCCGTCCAAATACAGCAAACATCGACAAACTCTGTTTCCCACGATTAAAGCTTCAAATGCAGAAACAGGACGCAACAGGATGAAATGAAACAAGATGATACAAGATGCGACAAGATGAACCAAGTACTTCAACTGTAGCCATCGATTGCTGAATGTGAAATGCCTCTGATCAGCTGAGACTGGCAAGCCCAAGGGCTCCGTAGCCTCCAGTGTCCAGCAGGAGATAGTAATAAAATAACGTAAACCCCGGATGAAGAAACCCTGAATTCACAAACCCTGACGATTAATTGGAGGGTTGCCCCCCAACCGGTGATATCCGGTGATAAACTACTATTGAAATTGTGTCCCCTTCCCTTTTATTGATAAATTTAATGAACCGGGGCAACTGGGGATTGACTTTGACCTGGGAGAAACCAGCCTTGAACTCGTTCCTGAATACTTAAGTAATTTAAGTTTAAGTATAATTTAAGCATATTTAAGTGATTTAAGTAGCAGCTCTGTATAGCTCTGTCTGACTAAGTTTGGTCGGCCGAGAGTGTGACCCGCCTGGCAGGACCAAATCATGGCCGTGGCAACAGCCTTCCGTCCGCTGGTTTCGCCTCAGCATTCGGAACAAATGGAGAAATATGGAGAAATGGAGCCTCCATATGTCTGGATATTTCCTGCCTTGATCGTGTCCTGCTCAGAAACTTCATACGTCGCAACCATGTCATAGGTTCCCAGTGTGAAAAGGATGGTGCACCAAAAGAAAACATAGCGAGCATGAGATTTGTACAATAATATACGTAGTGAAAAGGTGTCAGGCAAATGTTCGGCATGACTCTTCCTCAACAGGTCAACAGCTTGCCTTGGAGCCTGACGAACTGACAGGCAATAGGCCTGCCGATTTGGAAAGAGGGTTCCAGTCGGGTTCCAGTGCATCTGAGATGCAAAGCATATCAAAGACTCCGACCGTTGCGGATCAACGAACAGCGCAAAAAGCATGTCATCTTCACTTTAATGTTCGCTAACAATACCTCCATCTGTTGTTCTCTGAGCGGGGGCATACCGGCATACCCTAACTTGGTTGACGAAAGATCCTAGGATATCCTGAGATCCAAAGGTGTGTCCTTTCATTCTCTCTATATAGTTAGACTCTAGTTCCTGATCTCTCGGTCGCCTGATTTGCTGCATGCTGGATGTAGGAGCCTGACACCTGTCAACCACATCCAGAAAAACAAAAGCTTTGGGATTCGGCGCTGTGCCAGCTGGTCATCTCGATGTGAAAAGTCCATCTTATGTTTTGAGCTGCCATAAATCAAGACATCTATAGACTAAAGACTCTACGTCTTACACGCTGACACAGGCCGCGACACTCAAAACTGCCCATCTCAACCTTTCAGATACTTTGACAGCCGCCCGGTCCAACCTCCCAGTAGAACTCTGGGCTGTCCATGCAGTTCCAGAGGATCACATCCTCGCCATCCTCGGAATCGGTCACTTCCGTGTCACAGTGTCACACATGCCGCATGCCTTCGCTCAAGCCAGTATACTCAGTACAAACTGCTCGTCATATTGTTGTCATGTCGTCATAACTTTCCCAAAGGATCCCAAAGGTAACTTATCCAGGACTTATCCACTTAGAATCCACTCTCGTTACATGGTCATCATGGTCCTCAAACTTCTGTACCTACCAAGAGGTTGGACACAGCTCACATCCTGCACATCCTGGGCCGCCCTAGCCATGATGTGTCCACGCCGGATGGAAAGGCAGTACCTCAAATTCAGCAATCCCTGCAAGATCCAAGTGCAGATTTTGTCTTTGGGCATCTTTGCGACAACCGGTGCAAACTGTGCAAAGGTGCGAACTGTCCAAATGACGACCGGCCACAATACAAAGTAACCAAAAAAAATACGAACCCATTCATCACAATGAGACACGGCACCTGGGGTTGGACTCCCACTTGATAAATTTGCCCTCTCTGATCCATCTGACGGGTGGTTCCTCAGCTGGAGCCAGAGGATAAAATAGCACAAAATCTAGAGACAAAGATCCGGCTGTCGTGTCTGTTGGACCGCTGCAGTCCATCCAAATATGTATTCTCTCAGAAGAGGCTTGTCTGTGCAAAGATCATAGACACTTCTACAAGTAGCAGAAAAAAATTGGCGAAATTAGGGCTTTGCTTGCCATTCGGTTTGAGACTGGTCCAATCATCACACTGCACAAATCCAAGGCCCCGCGATCTAGATTTACACTGAATCAACTTCTACCACCATCAGTGAAAGATGTTGCCATCACCAGTCAGATTCATATTCTAAGCTTCACCGTGCTTTGTATTGAGCAGCCAAATCCCAACCGTTTGATCACAGGCCCACCCTAGAGTGCATGAGAAGAATCTCCAGTGCCACAGCTGGCGCTGACCACATTGGAGCCCTCTCCAGCCTTTCCGCCTCATCCAATGGTGTCGCAAAGGTTCGGATCATATGGGTAGTCAAGTGATGTCAAGTGGTAAACTTCTCTAACATCAATTCAGGAAAGTGTTCCGGTGTTCCAAAGCCGCCTTCAACATGTTTCTATCTGAATCTTTAGGAATTCATATTGACACCACGATGAGAACTAGCATGGGTCTCCTGTCTACTTATTTCTCAGTGGTTTTCATGTTGATAAACGCGTTCAAGACATGGATGCAAAACAGGCAAAATGCATCCAACCTCAAAAGGCATAAAGAGCATGGTGGTTTCACTTGCAAGAAGAATCCCAGATCCGCACCAGCTAGGCTTCCAGCTCACAGAGAGGCACTTGGACCGGTCGGAGTCCATTCTCACCAGCTTACCTGCACTTTGATTTTGAGAGAAATTTGAAAAGCAAAGTACCTCTTGACTTCAAAGAAATTCAAGCTTTGAAGAATGGATGAAGAATGGCTTTGAAGTAGTTTTGCATTTGAAAAACATGTTGACGGTGGCATCTCTACACCCGTCCGGCGTGTTACCCTGGAAAAATGGGATCCTGGCCGTCGAAGGTCCACTTGTCGTTCATCCCCGCCTGGGAGACCGACGTGAGGATTGAGGCAGGCCAGGCAGGCTGCGATTTCATGCATTTCTTGCACGCTTTTCTGAGGAAATAGTGCAGTATACTCAGTATACAGTATAATGGACAAGTGATTCCGATGTGCAATTTGGAAATGTTGATTTCAAGTTTCTTTAGAAAAAAAAACATGTAGCTGCCCTGTACGTGTCCAACAATTTCCTCCAAATTGAATAGAGATTCTGGAAGAAAAGAACCAGAATCATGAGAGTTTGTCCAACAATTTCTTCCAAATTGAATAGAGATTCTGGAAGAAAAGAACCAGAATCATGAGAGTTTGTCCAACAATTTCCTCCAAATTGAATAGAGATTCTGGAAGAAAAGAACCAGAACCATGAGAGTCAATGAAGTGGGTGAAACATGATGGAATTACGAGGTCGGACTCTTTCTCCGCTTGAAGAGGACACTCGGACACAGGGTGTGAAAGAAAACTGCGTGGGTAAAGAAACAAAACAGAAGATAGTGTTGGAGAGAACCTACGATGAACTACGATGTAGCTTAGATATCCACCGATGCTGTGATTGTTGTGCACAGGGCCCTGACACCGCGCCAGAGAATCAAGTCAGCGCCGTCCATGGGATTGTCTTGACGCCTTGAATATGTGGGGGGACTCTCGGATGAGAGAAGCAGAACACGAGAATAGAACATGCTAGAATGATAGAAGCAGTCAAAGACACTTTCGATCCAAATCTGAAATGCCGTGAACCGCGAGTGACCAAGGCCAACACACACTCATGACGTAGCTTGGCTTTGCTTTGTACTTGATGAACTCCCCGTCTACTTCCTAGCATGAAGAGGTAGAGGGGGCTTTCTGCCGTGCCTTGGCCTCTGAGATTCTCAAACAGATTCTGAATAGTCATGAAGCATCGGATGGCAACGCCAGAGAAAACAGAAGGAGAGGGACGTGACCAATGAGCAAACGGGGCCGGTGGACCCAGTGAAAGGCTGGAGAGTCATTGCACTTCCAGAGAATGATGTCGCTTCCATCACCAGCCTCGGAAAAAAAATAGCAGGGGCAAAATAGACTCATCTCATCTCTGTCATCTCTGCTGACTCTGCAACTTCGAGCTCCAAGCAACAGACCGCTGACATTGTGTATGTGTGTGTGTGTGTGTTTGAATTTCATTGTGTTTCTCCACCTTTGTTCTAGCATACTTTACTGATCTATATAGCTATTCCTGGCTCACTCAACTAATCTGAGCATTTATTCTACAAGATTCTGGAAGTATACATTGCCTGCTGTATTGTTTGTTTCACTTTCTCCGGCTGGGTCCTCCTTGTCATCCATCGTCATCCCTGCAATCTGCTCTAAGCCCAGCACACGTCCTTCCCGTACACTGACACAATAGGATGGATCTGCCTGATTTTCTGGACCAAATCTGAGCATCAGCAGTCTAAGTCCACACGAAACAAATTCTCCAAATGCCGGCTGTTTCATGACAACTCGAGGGGAGACGTGGCGAGCTATTAAGACTGTCAGACTCGTGTCTTTGTTTTTTTTGGATGGTACATGGAAAAGCTTGCTAGGCTAGTGTCTTGGAAGTTTGTATCAGGTGCACATGGCTTATCACTTGCTTGCACCCTCTTCCAGCCTCATACTGGATGTAGGCCCCATTTACCTTTCAGTTGCGGGTTTGCTGATGAGCAACATGACAAAGTGACAAAGTGTTTCTCAAAGCAGCCACCGCTATTGATGATTGGAGTCAGAGTCAGAGACATCAGGATCAGAAATACACCCAGACTGTTGCCTGCATGAACTTCATCATGTACACACAGCGCTCTGCCACAAGTAAAAACGAAAAGATAAGAAAGAGAAGAGATGATGATCAGATGATGTGTTTCAAAATTGCCATTGCAAATTGACCGTCCGCATCCTCACGAGTCCTACGGAAATACCACTCAAACCAAGATATCTTAGGCCCATTTAGGCCAAGGCTTTGAACTTGTGCTCTGCGTCTTTGGTCTCAGCATCACTTCGAAATGCACCCTTTGCTTCTTCCATGGCTTCAATTCACGGCAGCTGAGGCTGTCAAATTGTCATACATCAAGATGCATGCAGATATACTACTCTCCATTTCCGGCAGGTGGCCGCCTTGGCCATGCCAAAGCCGGAACTTCCAAGTGAAAAAACCAGCCCTGAGATGCCGGACGCAGTGCCACAGGATGATATCCACTCCTTAGTTCCAAGATGCTCCAAGATGTTCCAAGATGTTCCAACAACCATAAGGAATTCCATTCAGTTTCCCCTGTAGTGAAAAGTGCCATGAAACTAGACAGCAATGTGGACTCAATTTGCCATGCCAAGGTGCCGTTGCTTACCTTTCCTTCGCGCCTCAGGAAGTTTTGGCCACTTGATCATTACCACCGTCACTTGTCAACGGAGATCAGTTTTCTGGGATTTGCTGAGGAAAGTCTCAGGGAACAAACCTACTGACCATTCATAACTATTCCGTATTTGTGTTTTGTGGAGACAAGCAAAAACTGATAAGGGACCTGCGGCATGTTCTGGACATTTCTACCTTTCTGCGGCTTGCCCGAGAGGGATGCTGAGGGCAAAGCAAACTCGCACAGTACTGCGGACTTTGTTTGTATTTCAAGTAGCCATTCTTGATAATCCAGCGCCTGAGTCTGACCACTTTTGACAGCAAGAGAAAAGGAAAAGCATACCGCCCGCAAAAAAGTCTTGGGAGATACTGCAAAGTCCACTTCGAATACTTCGAAAGTCAAAGACATCCTAAGACTGGCAGTCGCAACAGGAGTATGCCTTTTTGCACATGTCAATGTTAAACTAGAGCTGTAGCGCAGCAAGAGGTTTGTGCTACTGTACTGCGAGAGATCTATGGCATGTCTTCTGTCCAAGTCCGTCAAACAAGTTCAAGAATCTTTCCAGTTGGTAAAGGATATTTGCAGCCGTGCTGATTTGTCTTGCGAGGTTTGTTGAGAAAGGAATTGAAACCCATCTCTGCGACTTTCTCAAGTAGCTCTTGCTCGAAATTGACAAAGCGGCCAACATCACGTGTGAGAATGTACAGGGACAAGAAGGTTGGATCAGTCACAACTGCGTATTCGTACTTCCCCTCGTACTTTGGGCCTAACGCAACAATCACATAGTTCGGACTTTGAAACGGTTTAGGATGTCGAGGAGCCAAGCGTGATGGTCCTAGTGACACATCAAACACCCCAGTCTCATTTGGACTTGGCACGGCGAATCCTTGTACACTGAAGCGGAACCCCAGGACACTCACAGAATTGGTTAAGGCAACAGCACCCTGCGACTTGCTGTAGTCGACAAAAACACAGTTGGCTCCAAGTTCAGTGGCATACTTCACGCTGAAGCTGCCATAAGTTTGATACCACCTTCCGAGAAAGCTCTCCAAGTCAAGCTGCTTGACAGGTTCGGGTTTGGCAAGCACCAGATCTAGTGCGGCAAGGCAAAGGCCACAGAATAGCCGCATATTCCGCTGCGGCTGGGCGAAGTCACACTTGAGCACAAGGTCTACATCAAACGTCATATGCCCGTAGAACAGAAGTGGATCTGGAGGGGATAAATGACAAGCAGGCAATCAACGGCAGATTTTCATGTCTCATGCGGCACATGCGTCATATGTCACCTCTCTGATGTGTTTTGGATGGTTTTGCTGTCACCTGAGTCCCAGACTGTTGGCCGAAACCCGAGGCCCCTATTGCCAGAAGCCCTGGCGAAAGCTGGCTGATCATCATGGCTGTGCTTCGGTACAATGTGCTGGAGTCCGGACCTGACCTCTGTGCCTCTTTTATCTTAGTTTGAACGGTCTTGAATTATTTGAATGTGTTGTTTTCATGTGTGTTTTCTATCATTTTCTATTCTCATATTCAGTAGTTGCAAATATTTCAAGATGTTTGGTGGGAAATAGGTCGGAGTGACAGGCTAAAGTAGCTCCAAGTGCCATCACCTTGGCGTCACGGCAACCCTAAAATTGCTTCACGCGTGCGCTACAACTGAGCTCCAGGCCGCCGCTTGTTGGACGTTCAACACGTGGCACTTTGAGCAGCGAGTGCAGCAGTGCACAAATCATTGATTTCTGCCAGCCCTACACATTCCACACTTGTTTTTGGAATTAGAAATCCTTTCCTGAAAAGACTATATGTAGTGGGTCTAGAGATACTGGCCGAGGATCTTTAAGGCACATTCCATTTGCATCCATTTGCTTATTCAAGCCGCCCAAAACGGTTGACAAATGGGACCCGCCCTGCCCGGCTGCGTTGCCTGGGCGGGCTGATACCACCACCTTCCAGGCACCTGCCAGTGCAACACTGTGAGGTGCTTTGCTGTTTGGCCACTGCTTGAGATAGAAAGCAATGGTCATCAGAGTTTCTCAGAGATCTATTAAGCATTATTAAGCATAGACTATCGTAGACTTCGCGTCTCTATCAGAGGGAAGCAATTGGATCTGAGTCCGCAACCCAGCACCAGTCTTTGGAATGCAAAGATGCCAGCGGACAGGCTGACTTTGATTCGCCTGCAGTTGAATCTAAATCTAAATGATCCCAAAGGTCCCAAAGGTCCCAAAGTCGTGCACCTTCATAGTTAAAGATAGTTAAAGTATGTTAAAGTAAATTTGCTCAATTGAGCGGTGTTCAAAACCCTTCTGGTATTTCATTATACTCTCATGGTGCTTTCGCATGTGTTTTCGCAGTGCTTTCGCGGCCACACTCCCGGCTTTCGCGTGGTGAACATTTGACAAAATTGCTTTCGCTGAGCTTGCGCCGTATTTGGTCTAACATGCGACAATTTACAATGTTTCGCTACTAAAATCGGCCAATCGGCCACTTTCGCGAAGATTTCGCGACGGTGTCTGTCAACTTGGTCTTCGCGAAGCTTTCGCCCAGCTCTCGCAAGCTGGGTTTTAGCTTTCGCGGGTACTACCCAGTCTAAGCCTAAGCGAAGCCCTCTAAGGGTTTTGAACGCT